ACAATACACATGTCTCTTTCCTATACACTATCAATACCATAAGTAAAAAAAAGATGAATATATGGATTGTAGTTGTTATTTTAGCCTGGCTTCCATGCTTTAGTTATTGTTCCGAGGGTACATATTACTAAATGACATTTAAAATCAAAGAAACGAAGCGTCAAGAAAAAATAAAAAGAATCTCTTGCAGCTCCATGTCTTTGCTTCATAATGTCGTTGTCTGTTCATTCACATACTTTTAGATTTTCCGAACTATTTCCGTCTACTGGCACGGGGATAGTCGGTCTATATTCCAAAGAGAGCACGGGTACCATACTCTTGCACGAAACATGGTCAACATTAAACAATACAAAAATATAATCAACTAACAACACACATAAATATTTCATTATTATTGATTTTACTATTTTTTTTCTATGGATCTATAAGTTGTATATTTATACAAAACTGACAACATGTTCGCACGACAATGACGTTAAGTTTTCTGGGTGGAATCTGTTTATTTCTGGCCTGTTACTCTTTTAGGCATACATTTATTTACCTCTTTGGTCGAATGTCAAACGAGATGGATACGGTATTGTACCTAGTTTTTAGCAATAGATTTCATTATCATCACCTGTTGGTGATGACGTCCACTGCTACTGCTGGACAAAGGCCTCCTCCTTAATCCTTCTCGCCGAACAAAAGCTCGCCACCTGTATCCATTGGTTCCCCGCTGCTCTGATGACGTCGTCGGTCCATTTAGCGGGAGTCCTGCCCCCCAGTCTCCACTCGAACCCTTTCCTCACCCATATGCCGTCAGTCCTTCAATAAACTTGCCCCTTATTTAATACAAATAGCAACACATTCGAAGAAAACTTAATTGTATATGACTAAAGGAGCTAAAATTTAATCTGTGGTTGCAACCATTCTAAAAATAGAATAATTAATTATCAAAAATGAAACAAAGGTATCACATACAATCGTTTATTCGTCGTGTAAAATACGATATACAAAAAGACACTATACCAACCAAGAGTAATAGGCTATGTCCCAGACATAGCACAAAATTCCCAATATTTCTGCACGCACAACTTTTAACAAGGATTCCAAATTACCCAGCAGGGTAGCATTATTTAACCTTACAATTAAAAGCAGAGCCGTATTACCCCTGAAGCAAACTGGGTAAGGGCGCCAGGATACAGGAGGTCGCCGCGAGTGCCAAAAGAGTGACGGTGGCATCACAAAAAATTACGATTACGAGATGATTGCCTAGGGCGCTCGCTAGTTTTAATCCGCTTCTGAGTAAAAGGGTAAAATTGAGTTAGACCCCAAATTATGTTAAATTATTCATTGATATTGCAAAAACATTGCTTTGAATTTGTGAAGGTCAATAATACGTGCAGAAAATATTAAAATAAAATCATTGAACACAATCCAATCGAGTTAACACTTCGATCATTAATGAAGATTTTACATTTAAATTGTACATTCTTTATTCATACTGTAGAACCTCGGTAATTCGAAAACATATTCTAATTCCTCACTTTCAACTTGTTTGATTAAAAAATTCGTATTTCTTTAATTTTCCATTAAAATTTCGAGCACTTATTTTAAAAGTATCTATCTCCAATTTATTATAGTATTTAGGTATAGAAAAAATCATTCGTAATACAGAGGTTTTACAGCAATCTATTACAAATATAAGGTCACTTTGTATGCAAGTTTTATTCTATAAAAATCTGAGCAAATCTTTGTTTGAGATAGAATCATTTATCGTCTAGTAATTCTACATTAATTACGTTTAATTTAGGACACATGAGTAATATAATTTCATTGAAACTTTTGCCAGAAATATAAGTAACGATATCATGGGTTAAAATGAGAAATTTACAAGCACGTACTTTTATTTAGTTCCAGAGCCGTATCGTCCCTAAGGCAGACTAGACAAGTGCCTATGGCGCCAGAGCAGGAGTAGAAACGGGGTGGGTTTGAGTCGTTAATCCAAGGAAATCATTGGATGATCCCCCCCCCCCTTAAAAAAAAGGGGGCGCCAGGTTGCAGAAGAGTGCCGCAAGACGCGCGTGGCAACTGTCCATACAATGACGAAGGCGCCAACAAATTAGGGGCGCCCATGAGGTGGTTACATAGGGCGCTCTCTGTATACAAGACGCGTCTGTTTAGGTCCCATACATACTAATTGTTCAAACATTATATAAATGTTCCCAAAACCTTGGAGGAACTGTGAAATATTGCAACGGTAGTTTTTATTCTATCGTGCGTACAAAATTAATATGACTTCCTACTGTTGTGTCTGGGCTACTATAAGTAAAATCATTTCTTGTTTGTTCATAATTCCATGCACAACATACGTATTAGGCACTCCAAGAAAGGTTAAATAGAGACAGGTGTGGATCCAGGTTTAAATGATCAATAACATTCATTGCATTTGCTGAATTATCCAAAAAGCGAAAACCATATTAATAATGTTATCTATTTTCTTTAGTACTGGTAATTTTCTATGGGAAAAGAGGGTAAATCAGCAGACACACACACCTAATGGTGAGCAATCAGCGCTGCCCATGCAATACCAAAGGAGTTACACACACAGCTCGTTACCGGCCTTTTGGGTACCGGGCGAATAACGATACTTCGTAAACGTGAATCATAGTCCTGATTTAAATACTTTACAGTTTTGATAGCAAACTGAGGCGGGCAATTGGTATTATCCATTGCCCTCTCATTATATGGATCCACGCCCGATTTTGTGTATAGATAGGTACCTCAATTTTCACTATTTATACATTGTGAGCTTCATAAATACAGGTGTCTGTGTAAACAATTATTTTTACCCAGGCTTTTCTACTTAATCGTCTGTCGCTGTCTATAATTATATATAAGTATTGAAGTTTATAACCATGGCAGTGTAATTTTACATATTATTTCTATTTAGTGTTATAGGTAGGTAAACATATAATATCAGGTTATTTTTCACGCATTAACGCTCAAATATTGGCACAACTAAAAAAAAACGTTTACATATTTGACGTTTTAAAACAATACGGAAATCTGTCCAACCGATTTTATGACTTATTTTGAAGTAACTTTGTTTTATATTTCGGAAAAAATATGAAAAGATTTTTTATCTTTTACTTTATTATATATTATTTCAGCAGTAATGCGAAAAAATATTTCATATAATTTTATACGAACTTTAGGTTTAGGTATCTATATCTAGAATACTGTTTAATTTTAAAACAACACATTATAGCCTAAAATATTAACTAACATTTTATTTATTATAATAATTAACTTCAAGTGTAGGGGCGTCATCGGCAGATATTATCGACATAAATAGATATGTAGGTACGTATAAGAACTGCTTTCGGATTTAGAGTATTTTATTAATAAGGTAGGACTTTGCTGAAGGTAAATCCTTCATTTGAACTTGTTGTATAACCACAAAGATGAACAGTCACGATAAATATCCAGTGCAATAAAATTATGAATTTAGTAAGAAGTTGAGAATTTCGATCAACGCAATAGCTTGATCATGAGTCAGGATCAGATCTCACTATCTCACTAACGGCCCCTATGACTAATCATATAGCCAGTTTAATATATTTTACTTTACGTAAGTCTAATAATATCTGCCGATATATAACATGCCCAAACATAGCTAGTCTTCAAAATGGACGGACTCAAAACATTTTATTCAAAATAGACTCAACTTTTAAACAAAAAACCAACAAAATTGACTAGACATCGTAACACAGGCTGAATAGAAGATATGACCATAAACAAAAAACCATAACCATGTAGAGGTGTCAGCTTTTTAATAAAAAAAAAGTATAAACTTTTCGCTTCCAAGTTCAAAATTTGAAATGATGTTAATTTTGACAGTTGACCGCCATTTTGTAAAAATTAGAGAGATACATTTTTACTGTTTTCTTGATAGAGCCCTTGTTACCTATTTCTTAGAAATTCTGACACTATTTTCTCCTTCGAAGCAAAAAGTTAAAACTTGTAGTTACACAATAAAACAAGTTGCAGCTAAAAAAATTCGTTACAAAAACGGGCAAACTAAATGATGCCCCCACACCGCTATTAAAAAGGTTTACTAATATTCATCATATCTTTTGAACCTCCTCCTGAATAGATCCTCCCTAATGAGTTCCAGATCTGACAGTTTGATGCGACCTGAATCCAGTGGGTCATTGCTACCTTTTCAGATCGCCTGTCTACCTTGTGGGTGGACGTCCAGGAGGATGACGAAGTACTAATATGTTCACTAGGGATAGTGAACATATTTTTGTAAAATTAATTATAATGTTCATAAACAAAACAAAAGTTTACTAATTCTTGTAAACATTTTTGGCGGCAATGTGGGACCATCCTACCACAGAGTATAAACGCCCAACAAACCACTCTTACGCCACAGTCTACAAAATTACGAACACATTACTCAAATTCTCGACTACGAATAAGATTCTTGTTGTAAAACTATAAAATATATAGCAATGTTTGTGTCTTATAGACGTGAGAGACTTTTAAAAGAGAAGAATATAAAATTCTACTTTATTTATAGAATAGTCGTGGCATCAAGAATAAGAGCAATTCCCTATGCAAAATTTTAAATAAATAACTAGAAATAGTAATGTCTAACAGAACCAGTAAAATACTTTTACTAGCCTCTGTTTAATGTTGCAATCGAAAAATATTAAAATGTAGTGTACTGTTAAAATTTAAAGTAGAACCTTATACACTAAATCAACAATTTTGATCTTATTTTCCTGCTGACAATAAAACCTCTCGAACCACAAGACACAAACGATAAGCTAACTAGCCGTTTCCTTACAAACCTCATTCACAATTTCCGAAAATCCCACAACAAACCAAAAGCACAATTTTTCAAAATCAAAAACCACTATTCGTAATCAGTTAAAATTTCATCCGCAAACCTTTGGAGCATTCATATCAAGTTACAAGAGATTCGCAAACCTATATGATAGATCGCTTACTTATCGTATGCTAGTTCTTAAGTCCATGAGGGCACTGGCTGTAATGACCCCATGTCTTTGCTTCCCACAGCTCCCATAGTCCGCATCACCCCCAATAGTGACCGTCGAAAACGAGGTGGAATTCCTCCTGTGCTGCAAAGTTTTCTTACCTCCACTCATGAAGCCGGTTTCTGAAGGACTTTGTCTCATCACTGGTTGGAAGTAGTCTCCATGGCAATTCGTGTTTTCCACCCATTCATGTCGTTGTTCAAATATTTTCGTCGCTCTAAGGGGTTTTGCGACGCTCTGTTCAGATCTCTGCTCCTTCAAAGGCCTCTCTAGTTGAGGTCTCAGTAATTTTGGGCGACTCTTGGTGTCTGCTGAAGAACTCAAGTGTTTGGTCTTCGAGTATGACTTCGCTAGTTCCGTTTCATGGAAATTCTTGCTGCTTTTGCTTGTGGTTGTCGGTAGGGGATGTGTTTTGTTGCTGCAAAGAATTAATTAGATAAGACCTGCTGTCTAGGTGATTAATCATTGTTTTAGGATATACTCGAGTCCAGTAGTAGAAAGGTTTATTAATCTGGAATCAATATTTACCCGGTGCCCCTTGCAGGTTATGGTATCTAACTTATGGTAGCTACCGAAATGATTTTAAGTGAAATAAAATCGCACACATGTTAGTCCATCTCCCCAAAACCTAGGCGGTTTTTTAAGGTTTCTCCCTATCATAAAAGATTTGAATATTCTATAGTTACCTAGAATGTACTTTCCTATGTTGTCCCGCGTAAGCCTGGGATCCCTTCGCCATAATGCTGTACAGTTTATTCCTGTAGTCATCGACTGACATCTGCTTGTCATCCCTTAAAGGCAGAAGGACATCTGACATCAGAGTCGGCTCGTCACGCTCGCGATGGAATCTGGAAGTAGATATATTATCATTGCCACTGTCATTCATCATCACAAACCTTTTCTTTCTTTACCAACTGAGTCATCCTCTCACCAGTTGAAGATTGCAGTTTAAAAGGACAATGTTTATTAAACATCGGCACTGCTCAGTGTCTTTTAAAAATCGGTGAAAATCGGTGTCTTTTAATCAGAAAAGTTTTAAATACATTTTTTATATCAAATCCTGTGGTAGACTCGCTATTCACTCGTTTTCCCTCTGGTCTCTCTGACGCTCGCGCCGAGTGAATGCGAATATCGCATAATTATGGTCGACCGCCAACTTTGTCGATTGTACCAGGTCGACTCTTTGACGCCCGCGGGATTAATAGGAAAAAATATATATAAAAAAAATATATTTGATGGGCCGACGTTTGACCACTATCTCGCCTGGTGGTAAGCGATGATACATTCTGCAAGAGAGCACGTCGTCCCATAAGCAACCTGTTCACTCAGGCCTTGAAGACCCAGGTTATATATACCCTTCATGAAATACAGACTCTAGCAAAGAATTCCACTCCTTAGCAGTACGTATATATACTACGCTGCCGTCATCACATGGAGTAAGTACCTACGTTATCTATATAACAAAAATAGTTCATTCAGGAAATTCGTTACCTACTAAAGATGATTAGCTGGTATGACATGCAAGTTACACGCAAGTCATTGTGCATCGTAACTTTATTTCTGCGATTTGAATGAGATCGGTTAATCTCGTTTATTTTCGTATATCATCGTGAGAACTAATAATATAACATGAGAAAACAAACTTAGGTTAACCTACCTAATTGATTACTTCTTTATCTGATCTGATATTGTAAGTCAATTCATAAAATGCTATTTTTGTTTTGTATCGCATCATCGATTACCACCAGGCGAGATATGTATTAAATAAGTTTTATTAATCAATAATAAATTAATTCGACTGTTTAATACAATAAGATATTAAAAAACAATCACACTTTCATTAATTTGTTTTATGACCAACTTAATTTTAGTATTTTTCCAGCATTTCTTTACGAAATAAGTATGCTGTTTGACGCTAAAAAATGTGATGTCACAATACACAATCTCGTACAAAATCCATAGAAAAGTGCCGTTTTTGACAGTTGGGAAAAAGTATTGAATTTTACTAGTTGGCAAGTACCCAATTGTTTACGTCAATACTTATACCGTTATAAACGGGCTAGATAAGCTAAGCTTAAAATTAAAGAAGTTATACAAGTATCGTTATCGTTCATTCTCAAGAACACTCTATCCACTGATGAAAACAGCATGAAAATCCGTCCACTAGTTTAAAAGTATATCAGACAGACAAATTAACATATTTTATTATTTTATGTATAACTAGCGGCCCGTCCCGGCTTCGCACGGGGGGACTTAAGATTTTTTACATAGTTTTACGTTTTATTTATATTTATTCTCAGTTTTTTTTAGCGACCTGCCCTCCGTTGTCGATTTCGCGTCTTAAGGTAACCGATTGAACAATTCAAAAGTTATCTAGAGCAAACTTTTATAAGGATTGAACCATTCATTAAAACGATTGTTATGGGTAAACTATAAAAGGTAGACATATGCTCTCGCGGACTTTTTTAAAAATAATGTTAAGATAAACAATTCATCTATAGAACATTTTTGTATAACTTTAACTATATGCTCAGCGCACGCCACGGAAGGCCTCAGAAACGATACTTTTCCCCCGTTTTTAAAACATTTTTGGTTACTGCTCCACAACTATAGGACCTAGCGTGATATTATATAGCCTATGTTACTTCTGAATAATGCAGCTTTCGAATGGTGAAAAAATTATTGCAATCGGTTCAGTAGTTTTTGAGTTTATTCATTACAAACATACAAAAATACAAAAATACAAATCTTTCCTCTTTATAATATTAGTATAGATATAGGCGAATATCTAACTACGTTATCCGGCGATAAATATTGCACATTGAACTTCGGACTGCTCATGATCAGGGCCGTCTTGAGCTACGCTGGGGCCATTAAGCACACAATAATAGGGTAGATGACTAATTTTTATTTTAATGTCCGTCTGGTAGACTATTTTAAAATATTACACACGTATTTTTTATTTTTTCTTCAGAAACGAATACTTTCGTCGATATATTGATTTAAAATATCGCGTAACGTCACTTCGATGTACATTTTATACGTAGAAATGACGTTTTAGCCCCCACTCCTATCGCGGAGAACTTGACGGGTTACCGGGGCTCCGGCTTGACGTGCAGGAGAAGGAACGGGGTGGATTTTAGTCAGTAAGAGTCTAACACTCCCTCCCGCCTCACCCAGGCGGGAGCAGACATTCGATGATATTCCCCCGTTAAAAAAAAGCCCCCACTCCTAAACTTTGATTCGTTTTATCTAAGTATTGAATTATTATACGACAAAATAAAAAAATACGTGTCTAATATTTGTTCATTACCTAACTGACGGACTAATTCGATTTTTAATTTTCATACACTGTCATCATCCTTAGTCAAGATCCTTTTTAACGTTGCACCACACTGAGATTTTCCCCTGTGTCGTAGGTGCATATATAAACATACAAGTAAACATACAGTGTGTTCGTCGTAGAAATTGTCGGTCCTTCGGGCGTTCCTGGGGATGGGGGCCAAAGGGCATTCAGGGCTCGTGCCCTTATGGTAAAGACGGTACAGCTCGTGATTTAGAAATGCTAAAACAAGTCGAGCACTCTTCTCAAATCATAAAAAAAGATTGAAGTAAAATACAAAGATTTGTACTACAATCGTAATCTGCTATTATCAAGTTGAAGAGTTTTTTTGGTTGAATGCGTTAATCTGTGAAAGTACTGATAATACTTCTTGTGACAGATGATTCAGTTATCAAGGAAGTCTATGAATTATCACACTACGACCAACAAGAATATCGTCCAGCAAGTATTTATCGTCAATTAAAATATTACAAAAGATTGACTGACTGCTTCATTGGCCAAGTGGTCGCAAGTGCGACTGTGGGGCAAAGGGTATCGGGTTCATTTCCCGGGTTGGGCAATGTATTACTGAGTTTTAAAAAAACTCTCAGTAGTAGCACGGAGTCTGGAATTGTGCCCGATATACGACAATAGGCTCACCCCCTATTACATGGCACTCATAACATAAATAGTGAAAAGTGGTTGTTACATTGTACAGTGGTATTAAGTGCCGTAATTTACAGCCTTGCCTACCCCTTCAGGGATAAAAGGCATAAAGTTATGTTATGTTATCACAAAAGATACACTTACTTGCCAACATATTCATGGTCCAAAGCCCGTTCAGCGCTTAGCCTCTTGGCAGGGTTGAATACAAGCAGTCTTTGGACTAAGTCTGCAGCGTCTCTCGGAGCACAGGACAGAAGTGACGACAGAGAGGCTCCACCTGAAGAGTTGCTCGCTTGCTCCCTGATCAGGGATGAGCCGTAGCCACTGCACACTATCGCTATGTCTATAGGAAGACGAATTTTGTTAGCTATTTTTGTCATCATCATCAAAAGCCTGTAAGAGCCCACTCCTGGAGATTAAGCCTTCTCTACAAAGGAGAAGGTTTACCATTATCCCCATACTAGAGAAGCGGGTCAGAGATCACGAGCAGACGGATCACCTGATGGTAACCGATCAGCGCCGCCCATGAACAACACCAGAGGAGACACAGGTGCGTTGCCGGCCTTTTAAAAAGGAATATGCTCTTTTCTTGAAGGTTTGAAGGTCGTATTGGTTCGGAAATACCGCCGACGACAGATTTTTCCAGTTTGGCTGTGCGAGGTAAAAAGTTACGAGAGAATCGCCAGTTGAGGGCTGTTACAAGGGGCGCCACGAGACGGGCGTGCACAATAGACTATAAAATGGCAGCATCAAAAAAAAAAATAGGGGCGCCTATGTAGAGCTTGCCTAGGGCGCTCACTCACTTTAATCCGCCTCTGGCTCAGCTATAAAACATTCTTCAACAAAGAACAAAGAGAAACGACATTATCACTTTTAAGTGTCACTTACCCTCAGGCGAAGGTTTAGGTAACGCAGACATGATCCTCTCGACCTGGTTGACGGTGGAAGTGCCAGGGAACAGCGGCTTGCCAGTCAACATCTCGCCTAGAATGCAGCCCAGAGACCACATGTCTATGCCTTTAGTGTAACTGGAAGGTAATCGAAACAGCATCTAGTCATCATCATCATCTGCAAGATCTCAACGAATATTAATAGGATTCTCTAAATATTATCCTCTCTAAATATTGGTACCCTTTACCGAAATAGTGTTCATGGAAAATTGTAAAAAATCTCGTTTTTCCCATATACCAGTCTGTCAAACGTCCTTCCAATTACTGCCAATCGCTTAAAGCCTATAAAGATGAGGGTCTTTTGAAAACGAAGGATCAGGATGTCGGCGGACCCCCCTCTTCATGATTTATTTTTGTCCTTAGTGGTCGAAAGTCTGTTAGAATATTAGAATAAAAATCATCATCACCAGCCTATAAGTGCGACTGTTCAGCAAAGGCCTCTTCTCACATGAAGAAGCAATGAGCATTATTCCCCACGCTGCTTAAGGCGGATTGAAAAAAATGAGAATCATCATAGTATACTAACTTTTTGCTGGCGATGAGTATTTCAGGCGCCCTGTACCAGCGAGTAGCCACGTAATCAGTAAGACATGGATCAGCTCCTTCCTCTCCACCTGAGTACAGACTGGACACCGATCTCGCTAGACCGAAGTCTGCTAGCTTCACCCTGTTCAGAGTACATTATCAAGGTACATATTTTGCCTAATAAACACATTTACAGATATAGCTACATTAAGTAAGATAGACTAGACCAAGTGGAACCAGGTATTGTTTTAAATTAATAACTGTTTTATTTTATTTGAATTTATTTGAAATTTGAAAGAATTGTTTTATTTTAAGTGTGGGAGAGCCATGGTTCGGCACGAATGGGCCGGTTCGACTGGAGTGATACCACGGCCTCACAGAAAACCGACGTGAAGCAACGCTTGCGTTGTGTTTCGTCGAGTGAGTGAGGTTACCGGAGGCCCAATTACCCTCCCCTTCCCCAATCTCCCCAATCCCTGAATCCCCAACGATCCTCAAACTCCTAATCCGCAAAAAGCCGGTAACGCACTTGTAACGCCTCTGGTGTTCCTAGTGTCCATAGGCGACACCGATTGCTTACCATCAGGTGATCCGTCTGCTCGTTTAACGGCTTAACAATTTTAATTTTCAGCAGCATTCCTCCATGCACCGTTTTGTGAGCTTCTCTGTCTTGATGAACATTCAAGCTTCTATAATTAAATTAATTTAAATGTCTCCTTAAATTGCCTTAAAAGATTAAAAGTAACTCTAAATATCCTGTTTCATGTGGATGAATTGGTTCACTCTAATCAAAAACCTCCCTACTACAATTCTATGAGAATTCAAAGACAAGAAAATCCACAAGTCAATAGCTTACCTGCAAGCGCTATCAATCAAAACATTACTAGGTTTCTGATCTCGATGTATGACATTGCCTGAATGTATGTACTTGGTCGCCTTCAGCATTTGATACATAATGTACCGCTTATGTATGTCCTTGAGGATATTACCACGTTTGATCACGTTGTGGAGGTCAGTCTCCATGTATTCGAAGCCAAGGTATATATCACGGTTGTTCAGAGCCCTGGTGTAAAGGAAAAACAGTTACTTAACTAATTTTTGGGTTAAGTAGAGGGCGCTGGTGTTGTGTTAGGGACATTTCGTCTAATGAGGGCCATCGTTTTTTTGTTAACAAGTGATATTAATGTAGACCTTACAATTGTTCGTACAATAGAGAATTAGCTGGTGACAAACAGTTAGATATTCAATTTATAATGGCTTTATTGATTGCACAAAAAGACTTCACAGTATAATAGCACCACCTAGTAACCATCCTTTTAAAAAAGCTTTAGTTTACAAAAATGTAGCATTACCTATCTAATAAGGCCCCTATCTTATTATGCTAATATTAACTTTATTGGAACAAACCTACGTAATAAAATTCTACTTACAATTCTTTTGTCTCTAAATTTTGCAATGTCACCTTGAGACTTCCTAGTGTAAGTACAACCTACCAAATACTATGTAAAAAATATGCTATTGTTTCTCACATTTCTTCATTATTAACTTGGGAAAGGCACAATAAAAATAATGATATACTAAAAGTGCAGCTGGCACAAAAAGGAAAATTAATAAATAAAGAATTACTCCTAGTACTTTAAACTGTCAAACACCAAGCGGTCACCGGTGACCGCAACCTATTGTTCTTTAATTGTGTCTATAAAACCGGTACTCGACGAGTTAAAAAGCTAAATTAGGTACCTAAGTTAATAGCTACAAGGTTATATAGGTAATGACTTACAATATGATATTCCATATAATTCTTCCTACACAAACAAAGAGGAAGAGGTCTGATAGTATGGACTGGACAGTATCAAAAATACACAACATTACACTGTTCAGCCAGAACAAAACTATGTAGTGGTAAGAACTGCTGATCAAGACAAGACCTGAATTAATTTAGTTGCTAGACAATCTGCAGATTTAGAATAACACAGATTTTGAATTTGGAAAGTAAAAAAAATTGGTATGTGAAGATCGGTGAGGTTTAGACGTTGTCTACCTCCATAGGATAATATTCGGATTTGTGTATGTATTTTCTATGAAGTACATAAAATCAGCTTACCTGTGTATACTATGTAGCTTTACAACATTAGGATGGTTCCGGAATGACTGGAGGAAGATTATTTCCCTAAAAGTCCGCTGAGCATCTGTCTGGTTCCGGAAAGCGTCAAATATTTTCTTAATCGCCACCACATCCTTGGTCTTTTTATCAACAGCCTTCCAAACGATACCGTAAGCGCCTTTCCCAAGCCTTTTCTTGACTTCGAACCGTTTAAGTATGTGTTCATCAATCTCCGACATATTTTTATCAGGGACTTTCTTCTGTATTGGCTTTTGACCCACATCTTTCTTCCGGTCGTCTTTCTTACCTTGATTTTGTGACATCAGAACTTCTTTTCAACACAAATACTTACGCGGAGACTGTAAAATCAAATTCTGCAATTGATACAAATTAAAATTCATATATTCGCAGTTTTCATGTTTTGCTATCAAATTGCTATATAAAATGTAAATTCGAAGGGTATCGTGAGCTTATTTGAATATTAGAAAAGCGTGACTACCATCATTGTCAAAATATTGATTATTTACGCTAAGCAACGAGGAATATGTCGATACAACTGACGATTGGAAAATTATTTAATTTAATTTTAAATGTAACTGTTGCTGAGTGTACTTACGTAAAAAAACAGTAATAATATCTCACAAATCCCATTATACATTTACTATTTTTTGTTAAAATCTTGGTATTTTGTCAATATTACTAGATAGACATCGGCACATTTGAATTCTGCCAGTCGAGTTTCATTTGTTTACGGCTCCCCAAACAACCTGTCAGTTGCTATGGTAACCAAGGATGTCAACTATAGTTGTGCACCAAAATGTATAATCGATATTTTTGGCAGAATAATTACAATCGATTGTTTATGACTGGTGGAAATATTTTAATTTTTAATGATTAATTTATGATTGTAGTTAGAGACTATTTCAAACTACAAATAAAAACATGATATTTTTTTCAAAATCTTTATTTTATTTAACATTAATATTACAGTCAATCTGATAAGTAACACGCTAAAATTGTGAAGATTACATCTAATATTTGTCTCGTAATACTTAAATATTTCACCTTAGACGGTTATTTAATAAATGCATAAACTTCATAATATAACACGAATTATAGTTTCATAGAGTATTAATGGAAAGACTTGGAACACGAATATTATTAATATTATCATGTTTAGGATAAGTATTTTCTGATACACTTGTAGATAAAAGGTGCATGCATGGTTGGCATTATTGAATTGATAAGTATTTATCTCCTACGATAAACAAATATAAATATATTATACTACGGTGTAAATAACAAACAAAATAAAGTATATACTTATGTATAACAACAAATAAAATTGTTTAACAAAATATTAACCTGTAAAATATTAATTCTACCAAAAATATACAAAATAATGTTTCAGCGGCTTAGTGATGTTAAAGTACATTAGTACTTATGAGAATTAATATTCTCATAGGTACTTTGAAAGGAGAACCCCCTTAGATATATCACAGGGAATAAAAAAATAGTTCCACTATTGCATATTCATCCCCAACTCAACATTAAAATAAATATATCCTAAAAATTTCCTAATGTTACACAATCACACACATTCAAAAAACAAAGTTGAATTTTAAATTGCAAGCCCTTGCAAACGCAGATAATTTCGTAATAATTGTTAGGCGGCTAATAAGTACATTAATTTCAAACCCAATTTTAAGAGACCAATTAAATATTGAACCAATATTGGGGGATCAAATTTTGTTTTTGGTTTATCTTAATAAATAGCATTAAAGCCAAACGGTTACCAGGTAACCGTACACTAAGTACACACACACATTTAATTCAATCTTTTTTTGCCTTATAATACTCCATCTTGGCCTTCGTTAAATCGTACAATCATAGTCACGAAGACTTGTAAAAACGTTATCAGATTTGATAATAACGACTTTAAAAAGGAGAAAAAACCGTAATACTTGATCGAAATACGAATTTTTCAATGAAACTACCTCTTAAATATTATTAGTTCGTGCCTCTAAAATCTAGCTGTTACTAAGACCGCAATTTCCACTGGCGAAAACATTAATATAAACAGCAAGTCGTATTGAAAAATACTTAGAGTGCTCTTTATAGCTACTAAATCTTAACAACTCTTTGTTAGGAACAGCTTGACATTGATTCCAATGAGAATAGGTACTATAACTTATGTAATACCCTACTCTACTTTAAAACACAAGTTCAGTTACTATAATGTGTCCTTAGAGAGAAAAGTTTGTTAGGCGTCATGACATTAGTCTAGGTCACCTGTGCAACTATTCATAATTAAAGCGAATATAATGAGGAACTTTTGAATGGATTGAGACCTGGAATGCTTGTTGGGAGTCCCACAATATAGTCTGAAGTTTCAATTTCATCAACGGATAATACAAATTTCTAGTTTTTGCCATTGGAAGTGCGGTGGACGAAGGTCTAAACTACCGCTAATTCTGATCTAGGATGCGGTAAAGGCACACATTATCGTTGAGCTTTTTATAAAGTTACGCGAACAAGGAGGGATGCATCTTCTTCTTTTCTTCTACGTCCAAACGACCAAGGTCAATTGACGAAGGTGTGGGCAGGCCACAAGGCCATTCCAGGGAATCTTGCTCGTGTGTCATTATGTGTTCCGCTTCCACTGTAACAGAATTGGAGCAATTAAATACGTAAATAATTATGAATTATCGTACCAAATCATTTGTTAAATTTTACAATGATATTTTGATAATACTTTAAATAACATGAAGAAGTTAATAATGAAACAATGTATTCAAAAGATTATATACACTTGAACGGTATTGAGATAATCTAGTAATTCACTAAGCCTTAAAATGATTATAGAAGCAACGTAAATACATCACAAGGTTTAATGTGAAGGCCAACCTAAACGCAGTAAAATTTCAAAATGTAAAACTCTATATGACTGAATACAATGAATCATTCTGTAGTCAATAAATTCTAATAAATAAATTTCATTCGGAAAAAATGATCACAAAATTGGCGAGAATCCAAATACGAAAACGCCAGTGTCTCATTTTGATGGATTTAATTATAGATAATTATGTATGCGTGGTGATCATGTAATGAATAATCTTCTGAATTTAAAAAGAACTTACTTCTTATCCTGTGTATTTTGTTTCCATAGGCAAGATCCCAATAGTAGAGAGTCACAAATGTGAGAGGTACTAAAGGTATCAAAAGATACGGTCTTTTAGTCCTTCTGAACCTGTAATTAAACACAATTCACATAATTTGTCAATAATTCATTCAGTGCTGTTAAGAGAGAAATGTTAGTTAAATTATTCATTCATCTAACATCTTGCAATGCATCTAAATGTACTGTGTTAAGCAATAAAGATATTTGAATTTGAATTTAAATTTGAAATATTAATGTTATAACAATTAAGTACAAAAGTTCGTAGATACAAATAGTCTCAAAAAAATTAAAATTAATTATAAATTAATTAAATTTTACGATATAAGCGATACACTAGAATTTATTTATCAAGTTTTCTAGTAAAATAATAATAAACTATGTAAATATTTGATCTTTGACTTATACAATTTTTGACCATTGACCCTATAAACTCAGATAAATTTTATTACCCACTGCCAAGGCCTGCTGCAGCGACCACGTAAAATGTAGTGAACCAAAGGCAGGTGTCCCTACTTCTAGCAATTTGCATCGCCATTTGTCGCTCTTGCATCTGATATTGAAGTTGTATTTGCCTCTCCATCTAAAAACAAAATATTTATAACAAGAATGTACATAGCTACAAATTGATAATATATTAGAAAAAATATACATACATTTATTCTGTGCATAAATTCTTGATTCTTTTTGAAGTTTTCCTCCATTCCTGAGCTAAGATAATTTCCCATGGTGAAGTTTTAAAAGTTTATAAATTACTATTATAATAACAAAACACGATCGTGGCCCTGCCCTACACAATATTGTGTAATGTTGTCTTGTACTTGTCGTCTCTGCGCTTTGTTGCCTTGTCAAAACATTTTATATTGTACGTTTTGTTATTTCGGCAAATTGATAAGATAAGATTTCGGTCATGCGTATGAAAAATGATATGTGCAGATAGATTTTTGTTGTGATCTATTATTAGGTATTGTAAATGAAAAAGATAAAAATATGTCCTACAACTTAATTCTCGACTGAACACACATCACAATCAATACTTTTTTATGTACGACCAACACTATTTGTTGACATGTCAAGTCATGTCTGAATTTGACATTGAATTTTCGTTCCCGCTTCCCGCCAAATTTGTCAAGCGTAGAAACGTGAATGAAAATAACGTATAATTAGTAAAAATATAAGTAATTATTTTATTCTGCACTAGTTCTTAGTTTTTGAAAGACCACGATGGGTATTCTAGGCTTATCTAAGTTAATTGCAGACATTGCTCCCCATGCAATCAAGGAAATGGAAATAAAAAACTACTTCGGTAAGATGTGTTTATAATCGATATTTTAACCCTCCCGAATAAAATACACATCAATCCTATTTTCTAAAGACTAGACTTGTATATTGCAATGGCAGATTAGAAGTATTATCTTCATTTTACTGATTTATTACCAGTTGTCTTACAAAACCTATTGTTAACAAACACCGGACTCAATACCAGACTTCGAGCTTGAAAATAAGACTATCGAAAGCTACTAACATAACAACACTGATTCTCTTAATGATCAAATCAGAAATCTGATGTTCATAATCACATTTGTGACGATATTTTCATAAATTCCTTTGTTAACCTAAATAGTCAAACATAACCAACTTATATCTTATTTACAGGACGTAAAATAGCAATTGATGCGTATATGAGCTTGTACCAGTTTCTAATAGCTGTTAGGAGTGAAGGTAAGGCAATTATCTTGATATACATAGTACAAAGTGACTTTATGTGATCGGCCTTAGTTACCTCATCTTTAACTGTCTCAAACGCCACTGGTGAATGCATGAGGCAGTGGCGTAACTACATGTTGGCAAGTCAGCAAAATGCCACAGGACCCTTGGGTGGTGGACGGAGCTTGACGGTTCCTGTGAAGAGGTTTTTAGTTATCTGAAATTCTCTGTTTTTATATTTATTAATAATTCATGTACACACATACAGCACAGAGAACAACACATATATAAAATTCGAGTACATAGGTGCTACTTATTCCTGTTGAAATTTCTTCCAGCAGACCTGAGAGGAAATGTACCTAATTAAAACATTTAAGACACAGTGTGTAACAGAAGATAAGTTTTTATTGGGATTGTGGGCCCATCTGATGAATTTGCCAGGCTTTGCTACGTCTCTAGCTTTCACTATCTTAACATTTATGGAGAATGAGGAACAAAGGTCTTCTCACAGATATGGCTATAGTTAAAAAGAGCCCAAGGAGGCATTCTAGACTGCACATATGCACTGAGGCCTTAGTACGAATTTCTTTTTCGTTTAAAGTAATCGAAACGAGACGGCGTTCTGTGCTCTGATTGGTTGGTTCATTAGAGCCGGCCAATTACAGTGCCGAACACGTACTCATTTCGAATACTTTAAACGTAAACCAATCTCGTACTAAGGCCTCTGTTATTGTTTTTAAGAATCATTTCAACATCATTAGCTTCCGTAAAGGAGTGTCCGACATACAGACACCTCTTTTAAATATTATGTTTGGCTCTAAAAATGCCGAAATGAAATAAATGATTTGACTTTTGACACAAAACAAACACTTACATACATATTACTTTTTCAGGATCTCAATTAGTATCAGTAGATGGAGAGACAACATCCCACCTGATGGGTACATTCTACCGGACAATCAGACTGGTGGAGAATGGCATCAAACCAGTGTATGTGTTTGACGGGAAGCCACCAGACATGAAGTCACACCAGCTTAACAAGAGAGCGGAGAGGAGAGAGGAGGCGGAGAAGGAGTTGCAGAAAGCTACGGAGGCCGGTAAGTTGATATATTTATCATTGCTACATATTTAATCATTAAAATAACACACACTTTATACCAGCTGTGTTATGAAACCCATGGTTGGCGTTCGACCGCACAGTTAGCGCAGTGGCAATTCTTTGTGTGATCCACAGATTCTTGTTCCGGGTCTGGGTTTCATGTGTTTGTTGTCCATGACACAAGAGAATATCCTAGTGTAGGTAAATGCTTAAAAAAAATTGGTTAGGCAACAGACTGAAGGCACCATGTCTCAGGTGTACTGCGTGGAACAGATTTTTGTGTGATCTATAAATTATTATTGTTCAATGTGTGTGAACTTGTGTATTAGAGTCAATTTACATTGGGCTTGCTGTCATTGCAGCGGTAAGTTCCCCTTTTTGAGGAGTGGCTTGAGAAACGCTACGGCGTCCTCACCTACTGCCTGACGCAGTTTCGATAGGTTCGTGTTTCGGATTGGGCGGGAGGAAACGGCCGGGTGTCATCACTGCGAGGATCGCCAGGAGGACACGGTGGAGCATACGGTGGCGGTGTGTCCTGCGTGGACTGAGCACCGCCGTGTCCTCAGGGATGTGATCGGCGACGGTGACGGGTGACCTCTCGCGTTCGGCTCTGGTACAGACCATGGTACGAAGTTATTTTGCGAAGCAGTCATGCCATCTAAGGAGGAGACGGGGCGCGTGAGGGAACGAACCTCCTCACGCCCCAGCCGGGCGTCGGGTATCGGGAGACGATCTCCGGCCATAGTAAGCATGAGCCTGCGGACGGCGAGCACGTTTATCGTGATTCGTATATTAATGGTGATTAATGCTCCCATGGGATAAAACAGTAAACTAGTTAATCAATGTTATTATGTTACCAGGTGACCAGGAGTCTATAGAGAAGTTCAACCGTCGTCTAGTGAAGGTGACGAAGGTGCACAATGAGGAAGCGCGGCAGTTACTCAAGCTGATGGGGGTCCCCGTCGTCGAGGCACCCTGCGAGGCTGAGGCTCAGTGCGCTGCTATGGTCAGTAATCATCCAGTGCTTATTAACACAATAGGGTAGATGCCTAATTTTTATTTTAATGTCCGTCTCCTAAATTATTTTAAATCATTAGACACGTATATTTTATTTTCTTACAGAAACGAATAGGTACTTTCGACGATATATTGATTTGAAATGTAGCGTGACGTCACTTCTATGTACATTTCACACGTAGAAATGACGTTTTAGCCCCCACTCCTAAACTTTGATTCGTTTTATCTAAGTATTGTTTTATTATACGACAAAATAAAAAATACGTGTCTAATATTTTTTCATTACTTACTTTACTTACGGAATAATTATATTTTTAATTTTCGTACCCTGTCATCATCTCAATTGCCATTTCTTTCTTATCCAATTTTGAGAGACAGCCTTGCTTCGTCACGAATGGGCTGGCTTGACGTGCTCACAAAAACTGGCGTGAATGAACCACAACTACAGCATTCTGTTACAAAATGTTAGAGATTACAGGAGATCCGATCCCCGCATTTGTGAGGTTGTAAATCATTTGGTGTTGCGGTGGGCATCCCCACCCGCGATGTCGGTTGCTTACAATTAGGGTGCTTACTCTTGAAATCAATCTCAATATCAATGCAATTGCAATCCAATGAAATTTCAATAATTATTCAATGTCAAAACTATACAACCTCTATTGTAGCTGTTAAAATAGCATTCAGAGTACGGAATATAAAAACATACGGAATAGGCTCACCGCCTATTACAAGGGACTCATAACATAAATAGTGAAAAGTGGGTGTTACATTGTACAGTGGCATTAAGTGCCGTAATGTGCACCTCTGCCTACCGCTCCGGGGATAAAGGGATGTTATGTTATGTGTAATATAAAAACAAACTCAATACCATTTAGTTCATTAAATACCAACGCAATACGGATGCAATGGGCACTAGTGTTGAAATTCAAGTGTAGGAAATTTCACAATATCAATGTCGATCGATTTGAATTGGATTGAAGTAAGCCCACAGGTGAACAGTTAGCTTGTACTTCATATCTACGGCTCGTAACTACATCCCCAGAAGAATGGTTGTAGTTTCCTTTACCTAAGCATAATATAATTTCTATCTTCCTATTTATAGGTGAAAGCGGGCAAAGTGTTCGCCTCAGCGACTGAAGATATGGATGCTCTAACTTTCGGTACCAATGTGTTGCTGCGACACCTCACCTTCTCTGAAGCTCGCAAGATGCCCGTGCAGGAGTTCCACCTAGACGACGTGCTAAAAGGATTGGAGTTAAACCAGAGAGAGGTTTGTACTTGTAACGCCTCTAGTGTTCCAGGTGTCCATGGGCGACGCCGATTGCTTACCATCAGGTGATCCGTCTGCTCGTTTCCCGGCTTATGCCATAAAAAAACATTGGTCAACCATAACTTTTATATTCCCTCTCGCTTCCTCCCGCCCCACCCAGGCGGGAGAAGTCATTCGATAATTTTCCCCCCTTAAAAAAAACTTTTCTATTAAAATGTTTATTTATTTCAGTTTATAGATCTCTGCATCCTCCTAGGATGCGACTACTGTGGCTCTATAAAAGGCATTGGACCGAAGCGAGCCATAGAATTGATACGTCAGCACCGTTCTTTGGAGGAAATATTAAAAAATATTGACACGAACAAATACCCGCCGCCTGATAACTGGGACTTTGAGAGAGCTCGAGAGCTGTTCTTGGAGCCTGAAATCACTGATCCTAAGGATATTGAGGTTAGTTTATAAAATACTAGATTTTACCCGCGGCTTCGCTCGCGTCACAAAAGGATAAAAAGTAGCCTATGTGACATATACCTATCAATACACACAGCGCCATCTATACCAATACTTTTGTTTTCCCTCGGGAATATCAAATTTTCCGGGTTAAAAAGTACCCTATTATTTAATCCGGACTTCTAAGTTTACGTCTGCAAAAATTCAAAGCAATCGGTTTAGTAGTTACGGCGTGAAAGTGGAACAAACAAACAAAGTCACTTTCCGATTTATAATATTAGTAAGGATATATGGTAGCTTTTACCCGCGTGAATGTAAGTAAAGTATGTCCGCTGCATTCGTAAGACGTAGGTACTTGTATAATAATTAACAAACTTATGTCCAACTTAAGTATAGTTCTGTGTTTACAAATTCTTTGTAAAATGACAGAGATAGCACGATATTTAAATACAAGTTTAAATTGAGTAGTATTTCATTCATATTTATCCTGACTGCTTCGTTGGCCGAGTGGTCGCAAGTGCGACTGCTGTGCAAGGGCAAAATATTACTGGGTTTTATAAAAAATCTCAGTAGTTGCACGGAATCTGGAATTGTGCCCAGTATATGGCAATAGGCTCACCCCCTATTACATGGGACTCATAACATAAAGAAAAGTGGGTGTTACATTGTACAGTGGCATTAATGTCGTAATGTGCATCTCTGCCTATGCCTTCGGGGATAAAAGGCGTGATGTTACGTAATGTTAAATAATTTAGTTACTCAATTCGGCAATCGAACCCGAAATAATCGCTCTTATTGTCTTCTTAATAGAAACTATATTTTCAAATCAAAACTATATTTTGCAGTTAAAATGGACAGACCCTGATGAGGAAGGTTTAGTAAAGTTCCTGTGTGGTGACAAGCAATTTAATGAGGAGCGAGTGAGAAATGGCGCTAAGAAACTCATGAAGGCACGAACTGGTGCCACGCAGGGACGCCTGGACGGATTCTTTACGGTAAATATTATAGTCTTATTAAACTAATGGGTAGTTTAAACACTCTCATTAGTGGCTGGGTCAATTCGACCGAAGTGAAACCGCGGTCACACAAGCTGACGTGAAATAACCTTTGCATTGCGTTTTCACGATCTGACTGTTACTTTTGACCATCTTTCACATAAATAAACATTAAGATATCCCAATAAGGATATGCGTACTGCATGTCCTATGTTCAGTGTGTTAACCTATGTTCAGTTAGGCAAAATATTTGTTATGTAAGAAAATAGAGATTAATTTAGTTAGTTAATTATGTACGTTGTTATTGTTGATCGAAGATGTACATGAACAAATAAATGACATATCGTGTGTAGGACTTACAATTGGGTACTTTCTTTAATAAAAAATAAATTATTTCGACTGTTCAATACAATAAAATATTTATAAAATAATTAACATTTTCATTAATTGATTTTATGACTAACTTAATTTTAGTATTTTCCCAGCTAATTTTTAAGAAATAACTGCTGTTTGACGTTAATAAAACGTGACGTCACAATACACGATCTCGTACAAAATTCATAGGAAACTGTCGTTTATGACACTTCGAAAAAAATATTGAATTTGACTAGTTGGCAAAAACCCAATTGATGAAAAGATGCTGCTCTGCTACTCATTTCTGGCTGGTAGAAGTTTTAGAAGACCGTTTGTTAAGGCTAAAGGACTTATAATACTCCTTATTTTACTCAATTCTAGATATCAACAACACCAAATCCCAAGCGTAAAGCTGAGGAGGACAAAAAGAATGCAGCTAAGAAGAAAAAGGCGGGCGCCGGCGGCGGCGGTAGGGGACGTAAACCTAAGTAAAATAGTCAGTCTACAGTATATTTTAATTAAAATAAGGTTTTGTTGATATTCAACTGTTATTAGATATCACTATGTAATACGGAAGACGACTGGTCTGTTAGGTATACTTGTATGAAGAATATTGAACACGTATTTTTGTTGTGACATATCGGGATTCCAATATTTAAGACATACTTTTTATCTATTTCTATCTCACAAAATAAAAAATTGTCGACTGTCAAAACATTTTGTGTCTAATATTTTTCCAATAAGACTAATTAGCGGTCGGGAATAAAGAATAAATTATCCTTATTATACACAATCATGCAAAACTTACTTATTAAATATTATATGTATAGATTCATTAATGTATTTCCTTGAACCTGTAATTCCTATTAAATAAATACTACAATGAGTACCTCAATTACAAAAACAATATTGATCTGATGTTATTTTGATAATGAGTGAATTGATTGATTGATTTGTGTATAATTTTTGTATCAACTATCATAACTTTATACCACCAATTAGATGTTGTTTGTACGTTGTAACATTCCTAAAAATATAACAAAAGCTGTAAAATAATCTCTTAATTCTTAGATATTATGACGAAAAGCAGGACTTGCGCTGGACCGCATTCAAGTGATTGTGACCTATGTTTTGTAATTAATGCCTGATTGATAAGTTTCTTATTGAAATAAATTGTTTAAAAATCAAATATGTTGTTTCCTTTTATAGACATACTAACTTCTGCCCGCGACTTTGTACGCGCAATCCCCGTTTCTCCCGTTCCCATAAGATTTTCAGGATATTTTTCTATCATAAGAATCTTTTCCTGACAATAACAAACACAACAAAAAAATATCAGGCAAATCGGTCTAGCCGTTCTCAAGTTATGGCGTGACAACGGGAAACGGGTTGCATTTTTTATAAGTTACTAGCGGACCCGACAGATGTCCTGCTGTAATAATAGGTATAGATAAACCTAGAAACCGACTGCAGCGCCATCTGCCGGGCTGATTTGTGAATCTAAACAATTCCCAGATCCCCTGAACACACAAAAAATTTCATCAAAATCGGTCCAGTCGTTTGAGAGAAGTTCAGTAACATACACAATCACAGAAGAATTATATATATAAAGATATTAAATAACGGCACAAATTAAAAGTACCCTTAACCGACGAGCATGCATGAAAAGATTGACTGTTGATGAAGGGAAAGAGGTATGTAGGAATCGTAGTAATTAGCGTTCCATAGTCTCTGCCTCATGGCAGACAGGCGTTAGTTACCTATGTATGTTAAGTTGTGTATAAGTAGTATGTATTGTGGTAAGAGCAAAATAAAAAAAATTAGTCACAGGACTACATTTGACTGTCTATCTGTGTGTGTGTTCATTTGTTCTGGCTAATCTCTGAAATCTCTGGACCGATTTCGACAGGACGTTTATCTTCAATAAAAGTAAGAAAATCGTGCAAACAGTATTTTATTACCATAACACGTATATAACATTGATTATAATATTCAATACATAATATAAATACTTCTAGGAGTAACATTTCATTTAAACATAATAAAACGCATACAATTTGTATAAAACCACAGATAATAAGGATTTATGAGCATTTTGTAATCTATTCATACATGAAATTGGTCTTTTATTTACTTTAAAAACAAAAATGGATTAAAACAGTTGCAATTCCAGTTTAAAAAATGCTTAAAAGACACTGATTTTAGATTCGTTTATTAAAGTTAAAAATAATTTAATTTTTCAAAACAAAATGTTATACAATTTCCTACTATATTATAATGTATTGCGATTAAGTCCAAAATACAAGTAAAGCATGCTCTTTTTTTCTTCTAATTCCTATCATGTGCTGCATAAAAAAGCATACAAACTTCATTCAAAATCCTTCACCATTTTTCAATGTTTAGGCAGAATAACTTGTTCCTTTAAATTGCAAAGCAAAGAATTTACACAATATTCCATACATTAATAATAATTAATAAAAACAATGATTATGCATTCATAAATGAACAAAAATGAGAAAAAAGTTGATTCAAAATATCATTCTAAATACAATAGGTATAAATGTGTGCTTAGCCTAAAATGCCGTTTGTCAAACGTTCTCTTAGAATATAATTTAAAAAAGTTAAACGTCATCAAGATTATTTTAGCGCCATTTTTTAGTTCAAATATCAATTTTTTTATTAAAATAATTTAATAACTTATTTTTAACAATAAAATAATTTTAAAATTCAACAGTTATGTATAAAGAGATTTTTGTGGTCCTTTTTGTTTGTTAAAAACAATTCATATAAAATCTTTAACACAATTTAACGAGTATTGTCACTTTTGTTTAGTTATCTATTGAGAGGAGATTTGATGGCTGTAAAATTGCTGTAATATCAGATGAAAGTATTATTTGCTTTTTTACATTAAATAGGCTTCGAAACTACCGAACCAATTTGAAAAATCACTTTCAGAGAGAATCGAGACCTATTCGAAACTCTTTCCGTGTCAGCGTAGCCGTACATAGTAATTAATTAAAATATAGAATCAATATAGATTTTGCTGCCGATTTACGAACATCATTAACTTTTAAACTACTCCCAAATGCAACTCTCAAAGCTACATACATAATTTCGAAAAATAATTAAGAACGATTAGAAAACGGCTCTAATACATTATGATTAAAAGTTTGCTTTCAAGAAGTTAATGAGTCCATTTGTGGACCCGTCGTGGCTGGAAACGGGACTATTGTCCTGTAATTCGGGCTCTATCGCCTTGGCTAATTGCTTGCCGAGTTCCACGCCCCACTGGTCAAAGGAGTTAATGTCCCAAATCACACCTTGAGTGAAGATCTTGTGTTCGTAAAGCGCTGTGGAGAAAAAAATTAAATCATATTTGTATCAAAAAACATTATTGATGACTTTGTAGACTATTGTAAGTGTAATAGTCAAGTAAGGTGATCACACCTTCTATCAAGAAGGTGAGAAAAAATTATTGAGATTTGTTGTTTTTTCGAAAATTCTGGGAATTGTGTTTAGTGTAGAACTTATACATTACTGGTAAAGTCATAACATTTTATTATATCTACGCATCTTCGTCACAAATGGGTAGGCTCGACTGAAGTGATAACAGTGCCTTTAGCCAAACGCCACTTTAGCGCTTGTCTACAGATTTTCTCAATGTTTAGGCATATTAACTTGTTCCTTTAAATTGCAAAGCAAAGAATTTACACAATATTCCATACATAAATAATAATTAATAAAAACAATGATTATGCATTCATAAATTAACAAAAATGAGAAAAAAGTTGTTTCAAAATATCATTCTAAATACAATAGGTATAAATGTGTGCTTAGCCTAAAATGCCGTTTGTCAAACGTTCTCATAAAAAAATAATTTCAAAAAGTTAAACGTCATCAAGATTATTTTAGCGCCATTTTTTAGTCAAATATCATATTAATTTTTACTTAATTAAATAACTTATTTTTACAATAAAATAATTGGAAAATTCAACAATAATATTATATTTAATAAAGAGATTTTTGTGGTCCTTTTTGTTTGTTAAAAACAATTCATATAAAATATTAAAACAATTTAACGAGTATTGTCACTTTTGTATAGTTATCTATTGAGTTGAGAGGAGATTTGATTGCTGTAATATTAGATGGAAGTATTATTTGCTTTTTTACATTAAATGGGCTTCGAAACTACTGAACCAATTCGAAAAATCACTTTCAGAGAGTACCATAGGCTAGTTTTTACCCCGATATTCCTACAGAATCGAGACCTACTCGAAAAACTCTTTCCACGCCAGCGAAGCCGTACATAGTAATTAATTAAAATATAGAATCAACACAGATTTTGCTGCCGATTTAAGAACATCATTAACTTTTAAACTACTCCCAAATACAACTCTCAAAGCTACATACATATTTTCAAAAAATAATTAAGAACGATTAGAAGAACGGCTTTAATACATATGATTAAAAGTTTGCTTTCAAGAAGTTAATGAGTCCATTTGTGGACCCGTCGTGGCTGGAAACGGGACTATTGTCCTGTAATTCGGGCTCTATCGCCTTGGCTAATTGCTTGCCGAGTTCCACGCCCCACTGGTCAAAGGAGTTAATGTCCCAAATCACACCTTGAGTGAAGATTTTGTGTTCGTAAAGAGCTGTGGAGAAAAAATTTAATCATATTTGTATCAAAAAACATTCTTGATGACTTTGTGGACTATTGTGAGTGTAATTGTCAAGTAAAGTGTGATAGAATTCTTGTGTAGAGCAAAGAATTATTGAGATTTTGTTTCTTTTTTTAAATCTGGGCATTGGGTTTAGTGTAGAACTTATACATTACTGGTAAAGTCATAACATTTTATTATATCTACGCATCTTCGTCACAAATGGGTAGGCTCGACTGAAGTGATACTAGTAGATAAATGATTACGTTTGTAATTATACTTTTATTCAGTACCAAACACTTTGTTCTATAATAACAATATCAGCAGTTTCTATATTTAGTAGTAGTTAGTTTAGTCAGGTGAAATTAGCTCTATAATAAAATATAATTGCTTTGTAAATAAGTATTGAAATAGATACTAACGTGTTAACATACATTATTAAGTCAAGCAAGCACTGTCCCAAAAGTAGCTGAACAACATAAGCGTCAAAAGTATATTAACACACGGCAACATTAAAAATATACTTTGTTAACCTAATTTTGTCTTTACTGCTGTTTAGTGACTTTTGATATAACAATATCAGCAGTTTCTATATTTAGTAGTAGTTAGTTTAGTCAGGTGAAATTAGCCGTTGAGTGACTTTGATACAATGCTGTTCAGCGTCATTTGGATTGATGGTGTACAGCGACTTCTGGAATACTAGTGCATATGTACTTTTTAAATACTCGTGTTTAACGATTTTTGTAAATTTCTGGTGTACAGGCTATTTTGTTTCCTAGTTGCGACTATAACTTGTGGCATTTTATTGTGAACAGGTGTTTTGTTATCTTGATTCTGTTCATTGACTTTTGGTGCTGACTGTACCATCGACAAAGTTGGTGGTCGACCACCATCAATAGGTGATATTCGCATGCACTCGTCGCGAGCGACCGCAGGGAAAACAGAGCGGTGGATAACGAGTTTGCCACGGGATTTCGTTTAAAAAGTGTACTACCGTAGACTTTGTCGATGGTTCCATGTACACACGGCCACACATCAATCTATACAAAACCAGTTTATCCTGGTGTCGCGACGCATCATCTTTCCGCACATTTAACGTTCAGTTTATACTGGTTATGTATAGCTCGATGTGTAGCCATGTACAGTAAGCAGGTAACAAAATAAATATTGATTCACAAGCAATAGGTTCTGCTATTTAACAAAGTGGAATAAATAAAATTAAAAATTCTACATACCAATAAGAGCTCCGAGAGTGAATGGCGTGACTTTCTTCACGACGATGGAGTTAGTTGGACGGTTGCCCTTGAACACTTTGTGCGGGAGGATCTTAGCGACCGCGTCCGCTGCCATGCCTGACTTTTCTAACTCGGCTTTAGCCTAGAAAAGGTCATAAACATTTTTTTATTTGCCATCATCAATCATATTTACTTACATGTAGTCCCATTTCCGATTCCCAAATGGGGAAAAGTATTATTAGGGGAAATACCCCTAATAATACTTTCATTTTTTGTTTTCGATTAGGATTTTCAATATACTTGAAAATTTTAAAACCGAATAATATCATTTTAATATATTGCCCGAAGCCGGAACTGAAATAGAAAGTTCTTGATCTTAGTAATAGAACGGAGTATGGAGTCTTTGGATGATTTTTTCCCCTTAAAAAGAGAGGTAAGCCTAACATACTATGGTGAATAGCAATAGGCTAACCCCCTAAGAGACTTAAACTGTCGCGGAGAACCTAACGGGTTACCGGGGCTCGAAGTGCAAGAGAAGGAACGGGGTGGTTTTTAGTCAGTAACAGTCTGACACTCCCTCTCGCCCAGGCGGGAGAAGTCATTCGATGATTTTCCCCTCTTAAAAAAAGTATTAGAAACGTAACTTTTAAGACATTTTAAAGAACAACATATTAAAGAGTAACCTATGGAGTTTCTTGCTCGTTCTTCTCCATAGGAATCTACACCTTGGAATGAGCAAATAGCTTCACTTTTAAATTTCTATTGCTGACGTTCAAAAGTGCCTTCCTGGTCTAATTGAAATAAATGATTTTTGACTTTTGACTTGATTTTAGCTTAAAAAATTCAATTAAATCAGAGTTTATTGAAAACTCACCTCGTCAGCAGTCTTCCCCTTCATGAGCGCTTCAGTCTGTGCGAGGAAGTTCGCGAGTAAGATCTTATGGTGCACGCCGTTAGAGATCGGGTTGTGAGTCTGCGCCGGCGCAATGAAGTCGCAGGGGATCAATCTGTGTGATATAAAGTGGGGAGAGATGAGTTTAAGTGCCTTCTGTTTACTTTTTCGGGACAATTTTGAGGCAATAGGTTTTGTTTTCGGATTTTAAAAAAAAAAACACTATTTAATAGCAGGGAATTTTACTAATATTAAATATGCGAAAGTCTGTGTGTATGTTTGTGGGATTGGGATAAAATCTGGAACAGAGGCTACTTTTATCCCACGGTAAGGCGGGCAAAGCCACTGGCAGAAGCTAGTCTGAAGATATTTATTGTCGGTGTATGGGATATGGGTACTGGCCTTAATCAAAAATAAATTATTTCGACTGTTCAATACAATAGAATATAAAAAAATAATCACACTTTCATTAATTGATTTTATGACCAACTTAATTTTAGTATTTTTCCAGCATTTTTTAAGAAATAATTGTGGTTTTTGACGTGACGCCACAATACACAATCTCGTATAAAATTCATAGAAAACTGTCGTTTTGGACAGTTCGAAAAAATTATTGAATTTTACTAGTTGGCATGTACCCGAACTTGCCAACGGCAAGTACCAATGCGACTTTTTCCGAGTTATATGAACTTTCTAACATCATTTAGACACCACTGACAAACGGTGAAGGAAAACATCGTGAGGAAACCTGGACTTATAATTTCTAATTATAAGTTTGTAATCGCCAACCCGCATTGAGCAAGCTTGGTGATTAATGCTCAAAGCTTCTTGTGAGAAGAGGCTTTGCTCAGCAGTGGGCATTTATAGGCTGTTGATGATGATAATGATAATGATGAACTTAAAAAACTTGGTCTAATACATATTCTATATAGTTCATGGCATTTTGTATGTCTATCTTTTTCGACTAACCTGGTCCCCTGATGTATGAGTTGGTAGAAGGCATGTTGTCCGTTAGTCCCGGGCTCCCCCCACACGATGGGGCCCGTGCTGTAGTCAACCTGGGCCCCCGACCGAGTCACATACTTACCATTACTTTCCATGTCACCTTGCTGGAAGTAAGCGGCGAATCTGAAACAAACCAAATAGTAAAGAAAATTAGGTTTTATCTTTACTAATATTATAAATTGGAAAGTGAGTTTGTTTGTTCCGCTTTAACGCCGTAACTACTAAACCGATTGCTTTGAATTTTGCAGACGTAAAGTTAGAAGTCTGGATTAAATAATAAGGTACTTTTTATCCCGGAATAAATTAATATTCCCGAGGAAAAACAAAAGTATTGGTATAGATGGCGCTGTGTGTATTAGTAATTAGTATATGTCACATAGGCTACTTTTTATGCTTTTGTGATGCGAGCGAAGCCGCGGGTAAAAGCTAGTCTTAAATAATTCGCCAAAATATATGTAAGCGTATAAGTAATAAACGTACGATCATGACACACCTTGAAGCATCCCACAAGTTATCGACTGAGAGACAATAGCTGACAAAAATAAGTGCCTGGCATATCATCCATATTACGGTGTGGTATTGGTGTACCTGTGTTCGGCGTACGTGGCGCGTAATGTACATATATAAATAATTTGAATGTAAATAGCAATATAAAATTTTCGTAATGTATAATTCATGTATAAAATTATTGTATAATTAATATTCACTCCTATTACACGGGACTCATAAATTGTGAAAATTGGGTGTTACTTCTGTGTGCACTTCTGCCTACCCCTTCGGGGATAAAAGGCGTGATGTTATGTTATGTTAAAAGTTAAGTGATGATTGAAAAATCTGCTCTAAAACTTACCTATGTAAATACTGGTCGTAAGGCAGTAGCGCGTGTGTCTCCGCGCCGTAGAAGTTCGAGTACCACACGCCGAGGAGCGCTAGGATCACTGGTGCCTAAACAATAACAATTAAACATATAATAATGTATTCAGGGCTCTGTTTCGGCTGCCACGATTTTGCAGTGCATCCGGCGCATGTTTGCTGACTCCAGCGTAGATGATTTCTTCGCAATTATGCGTAAAAAATAGCGTCCGTGTTGCGGCGAGTTCGTGGGAGCCGGAATAGCGTTCTACGGATAATAGGCGACAGAAATGATACTATTCTGCTCAGTAGGTTCACTGAACTCCATTTGTAGGGGTACGGTCGGGACCTGTGAGCGTATTAAATAAACTGAAGCCCAACGCTAAGTATGGGGGGGGCCATACTTAGCGTTGGGCTTCAGTTTAATTATTTAATTGAATTTAATTATTTGTGACTAACATTAGTTATAAGTAGATTGTCTGCACTAACAAAATTGCCATTTCTATGGACTTTGTGGTCTGCCATAAATGATTTTTATTTTATTTTTATTATTTATTAATGAGGACTATTGACAACATTTCAAAGACTTCGATTTTTTAAGACGTTGCCGTTGCCTACATTGGCTGGGCAATCGGCTGTCGCGCTACGGGTAATGTGTTCGATTCCCGCACGGCATAACTCGTTTATGTTATACCGTGTACTTTATGTTATATGTTATCTACATATTGTTGTTCCGGGTCTGGGTGCCTGTGTCGAATTGTATCGCCTGAATACTTTAAAACTACTAAATTTAAAGTTGTACTTAAATATCGTGCCATTTCTATCATTTTACAAATAAATTAAATAATAATTAAAATTGTTATTCATAATAACATTGGTCAACATAGGTACAAAAATATCTTAATTTGTAGTGACATAACTATACTTAAGCGCGACTTATATTCATATTTATAAATAAAAAAATAAAATAAAAATAAAATCTTAAAATTAAAATTTAGAAGTAGGTTTTTAGTATTCCATATGTCTGTTAACACACTCACAATACAGGAAATCTTAATGTGGTAGAATACATTTCTAGTCTCCTCGTTGGCCGAGTGGTCGCAAGTGCGACTGCCGGACAAGGGGTCTTAGGTTCGATTCATGGGTCGAGCAAAGTAATATTGGATTTTTAAAAAAAACATTCTCAGTTACTACTGAGAATGTTTTTTTTTGCACAAAGTCTGAAATTGTGTCCGGTATATGGCAATAGGCTCACCCTCTATTACATGGGACTCATAACGTAAATAGTGAAAAGTGGGTGTTACATTGTACAGTGGCATTAAGTGCCGTAATGTGTCTGCCTCTTAGGGGATAAAAGGCGTGATATCAAGTTTTCTAGTCCCTTATATCAAAATCTTTGGAGTCAACACAATATCTCATTCTTGTTTCCGTATGTAAAGTAATATAAATTAGAATACAACTTACATTTTTCTCCAACGGCGCAGTGGTGAAGTGTTGGTCCATGAAACTGGCTCCTTCTAGAAGTTTCTCGAAGTTGTCGTACCCGATGTAGAGGGAGATAGACAGACCGATAGCTGACCAGAGTGAGTACCTACGAAGTGAGAAAGAGTAAGAGTTTTGAGTACTACTCATACGCATGTAGTAAAAAGCGGTTATCTTCTTCTTCTATATATATAAAATTCAAAGGTGATTGACTGACTGACTGACTGACATAGTGATCTATCAACGCACAGCCCAAACCGCTGGACAGATTGGGCTAAAATTTGGAATACAGATAGATGTTATGACGTAGGCATCCGCTAAGAAAGGATTTTGATAATTTCCACCCCCAAGGGGGTAAAATAGGGGATGAAAGTTTGTATGAGACTTTGTCAGTTTTAAACCGATCGTGTTGAAATTTGGCATGCAGATAAATGGTATGACGTAGGCATCTGCTGTGAAAGGATTTTGATAATTTCCACCTCCAAGGGGGTAAAATAGGGGATGAAAGTTTGTATGAGACTTTGTCAGTTTTAAATCGATCGAATTGAAATTTGACATGCAGATAGATGTTATCACATAGGCATCCGCTAAGAAAGGATTTTGATCATTTTCACCCCTAAGGGGGTAAAATAGGGGGTGAAAATTTATATGAGGCTTTGTCAGTTTTACACCGATGCAGATGAAATTCGGCATGCAGGTAGATGTTATGACGTAGGCATCCCCAAGTAAGGATTTTGATTATTTCCACCTCCAATGGGGTAATGTAGGGGATGAACGTTTGTATGAAGCTTTGTCAGTTTTACACCGATCGGGTTGAAATTCGGCGTGCAGATGGATATTATGACGTAAACGTCCCTTTAGAAAGGTTTTTGAACATTCTCACCCCAAAGTGGGTAAAATAGGGGGTGAAAGTTTGTATGATACTTTGCCAGTTTTAAATTGATCGGGCTGAGACTTTGCATGCATAAAGTTGCTATGACATAGGTATCTCCTTAGAAAGGATTTTGATAAATTCCACCCCTAAGGGGATAAAATAGGGAATGAGAGTTTGTATAAATCTTCTTAGCCATTGAATTTAGAACCATTGATTCTTTTTGAATTAAATTCGGTAAAACGATGATTTGGGACCTGGGTAACGTATGATAGTTTTTTCACCGATGTCTCACGAGAACGGGAACTATGCATCAATGCCCCAGGACTCTCTAACTCTTAGCCACTGAACTTATTCTAGAGAGATTCGGTACAACAATAGTCGATAGAATAGTTTTTATTACTCAAACCTTACGTGATCGGGCACTGTACTGGTAAGATCCCTGCGGGATTATTTATTTATTGAAACTACGATAAATCATTTTCAAAATAGGTAAATCTTACTTGGGCACTGAATTGATTCTGGTTAATTCTGTCAGAAGTCATTAATCTACGCGGACGAAGTCGCGGGCAACAGCTAGTCTATATATATAAACCCATTTCCCGTTGTCACGCCATAACTTCAGAACGGCTGGACGGATCTGGCTGATTTTTTTTGTTGTGCTTGTTATTGTCAGGAGAAGGTTCTTATGATAGAAAAAAATCCTGAAAATTTTATGGGAACGGGAGAAAACGGTTGCGTGGTGTTGCGTCGTGTGAGTGACGTTACCGGAGGCCCAATTATTTCCCTCCCCAGTCTAACCAAACCCTGAATCCCACACAGTGTTCAAATTTTTAATCCCCAAAAGGCCAGTAACGTAAATCTAACGTCTTTGGTGTTCCAGGTATCCATGGGCGACGCCGATTGCTTACCATCAGGTGATCCGTTGCTTGCTGCTCGTTTACCGGCTTATCCCAAAAAAAATTAAAGTGTATAATTACCTGCCTCCCACCCAGTCCCAGAATCCGAACATGTTGTTGGGATCAATCCCAAACGCGGTCACCTTCTCAGCGTTTGTTGATAGAGCTACAAAGTGCTTCGCAACGGCTGACGGCTGAAACAATATCAGGAGTGAGTCACGAATTTAAATTACACTTTCACACTTTTATATTTTACTAGCTACATCCGCGCAGTTTCACACGCTCTGCTCAGCTCCTATTAGTCGTAGCGTGATGTTTTATAGCCTATAGCCATCCTCGATAAATGCACTATCCAACATAAAAAGAATTATTCAAATCAGACTTGTAGTTACGGAGATTAGCGCGTTCAAACAAGCAAACAAAAAAACAAACTCTTCCGCTTTATATAATAGTATAAGATTGAATTGACTGCCTCATTGGCCGAGTGGTCGCAGGTACTTATAACGTCATCATATTTTCGACGTCAAATAGGACACTTATTTCTAAAAAAATGCCAGAATAAATCGGTAATTAACTCAAGTCAAATCAAATCAATGAATGAAAGTGTAATTGTTTATCAATATTTAGTTGGATCGAAAAAGTATTTTGGTTTATTTTTGACCTGGAAACTACCCTATTAAATAGGTTACTTTTCAAGAAGTATTCTAGGCTACTTCCTATTGCGTTATTCTAACGTCCAATCTAATAAAAACATCGAAACCTATTGAAGATAGGTCTAGGTCTTAATCTCCTTTTAAAAAAATGATTTTCTTCGTTTTTTGTTAAAAACTCAAATTCTTAATCCCCAAAATGCCGGTAACGCACTTGTAACGCCTTGGTGTTCCAGGTGTCCATGGGCGACGCCGATTGCTTACCATCAAGTGATCCGTCTGCTCGTTTACCGGCTTATCCAATAAAAAAAAAACTTACATCCTTAGCAGCCTCAAGGAACCAGGTCTTGGCTGAAGTAGCGTTGGTGATGGTCTCCTGAGTGGTGAAGGTCTTGGAGGCGATGATGAACAGCGCCGTCTCAGGGTTCAATCGCTTCAGCACCTCGGCTAAATGGGTACCATCGATGTTGGATACAAAGTGTACCTGGTACAGAGAATTAGGGTGAGGTACTTCTCTGCTGAGTAGGTAAAACATCTTTAAATTGTCTCAGTTTAATTTTTTTTTTCATAAATGTCAGAATACTAAATGTTTAAGTGTGGGAGAGCCATGCTTCGGCACGAATGGGCCGGCTTGACCGGAGTGATACCACGGCCGAGCAGAAAACCGACTTGTGACAACGCTTACGTTGTGTTTCGTCGTGTGAGTGAAGTGATTGGGGACCCATTTACCCCCCTCCCCAATCTCTTCAATCCCTGAATCCCCAATACTCCTTAAGTTGCTAATCCCCAAAAAGCCGGTAACGCACTAGTAACGTTTCTGGTATTTCAGGTGCACATGGGCGACGCCAATTGCTTACCATCAAGTGATCTGTCAGCTCGTTTACCTGCTTATCTCATAAAAAAGACATTTCGAAATAAAATTCAAGTCTCCTAATGCCCAAAAAGACAAAAAGAAAGAAATTGATGAAAGAACAATTAGACAGACGACTTTTATAAGATGTATTCTATAATCCATTCTGGATTATATCATTTGGAACTTTTTGATGCTTGCGACACGGACGTTTTAACCCCAATACTTGTTTTTGATTCACAAGTAAGGAATACATGTACACATATCCATAATAATTATAACAAAGGAATTATTTCTTTACCTTTAGATGGTTGGCGTAAGGTTTCAGAGCTTCGGTGACCATCAGCGGCCCCAGGTCGGACCCTCCAATACCAATGTTGATCACATCTGTGATCTGCTTGCCTGTGTACCTGGGTGATAGTTTAGTTTAGTAATTTCTTTCATTTAAACATGCTGACCAAAGGTTTAAAGGCTTGATACACAAGAGAAGTATGTCGAAGTACCTATGTTTTGCGATAATTTTAGTTGAAGTTCATCAAAAAGATTGCTAAGTTTGCTGACTGACTACTGACTGACGTACGGTATTAGCTCAAAAGGTCGCGCAACGTTGTGAATCCTCGTCTAATAATAGTTTTAAAATATATAAGTATAATGTTTAAAACACTTATCCACCATAATTATGTGCACATGCCTTCTCCGTGTTTTTCAGCAGTGAGATAACCTTTTTTATTTTTTTTGTTGACGGGGGGAAACCTTCCAAAGGCGCCTAGCTTTTTGGGGAAAAAGACTAGGGAGTGTGGGATTCTTACCTCACTAAAACCTCCCCGGTGGCCACCATCCGCACTTAAAGGAGGCACCGGGTCCTCTTAGTAGACCAACTCCGGTGCCCTCATAGTGCAACGCCTGTTACGGCACCTCCCTATGGAGACCTATATGTCTCTCCTAGAGCCTCTCTGTGCACTGCACGGCGGCACGTGACCACTGTGCCGCAGCAGTGAGATAACCTAACGCTATAAAAGCGCCATCAGGGTGCTTACTCTTTAAACCAATCTCAATGTCAATGCAATTTCAATTCAATAAAATCTCAAAAGTAGGTAATTAAAATAACTATCGTAAGACATACTAAATTAACGAAAAATGAGTAACCTGCGATTTTTAGTTAATCTCAATAATTATTCAATCTCAAAACTATACAACCCCTATCGTAGCTGTTATATTAGCATTCTGAGTACGAAATATAAAGCTAAACTCAGTCCCATTTAGTTCATTAAATATCCACGCAGTACGGTTGCAATGGGCGCTAGTGTTACAACTCAAGAGCACGAAATTTCACAATAGCAATGTCGATCGATCGGAAATGGATTTAAGAGTAAGCCCCGGTGAGCAAAACAACGATAGCACTCAGAATGTGCTTATCTTTATATATATAAATCTGCTGTGCGTGTGTATGTCATTGAACTCCTCCTAAACGGCTTGACCGATTTAAATGATTTTTTTTGTATGCATTTGAGTGGTACTCTAGATGGTTTAGATTCACAAATCAGCCTGGCAGATGGCGCTGCAGGCACGGTCTAGAATAGTCTAGACTAGTTATCCTAAACGGCTGAACTAATTTGAATGAATTTTTGTTTATACATTCAAGTGGATATGCAGGACAACGTCTGTCGGGTCCGCTAGTAGAAATTATATTTTTTATAATTACCCCTTCCACTGTCCACTGACGACCTGTCCGGAGAACTCCTTCATGTGAGCGAGGACTGCGTTGACGTCGGGCGTGACATCCTTGCCGCCCACGAGGATGGGACGGTTCTGACGGTTGCGCAGAGCTATGTGCAACACTGCGCGGTCCTCCGTGAAGTTTATTTTCTCACCTAGTTACGAGACCCATTAGACATAAGTACATATGTTTACGAGCTCAGTAGCGTGCTATTGGTAGGCTCGTTGGCCGACTGGCAAAATATTATTAAATTAAGCATTTTTTTTTCATTTTTTTCGAATATTTGTTAACAATTATACGGATTCTGCCTTGAACACCCACTTTTCACTATTTATGTTATAAGTCTCATATAATAGGGGGTGAGCCTATTGCCATATACCGGGCACATTTCCAGACTTCGTGCTACTACTGAGATTTTTAAAAACCCAATTATACTTTGCCCGACGCGGGGATCGAACCCGAGACCCTTTGCCGGCAGTCGCACTTGCGACCACTCGGCCAACGAGCCATTTTAATCTATTAAACATTTTATTTAACTTGCCCAGTTTGTAAATAAATATATCTAAGCAGAATAAGTGCATTTATAATATTAGCTTAGAGCGTGGATTATAAACACATTAGCGGGACACAGATAATATAAGTTGTTACACAATCAGTGTCAACAACTAAGATAGTAAACTGTCAGATAAAATGATAAACATTTAACAGTACGCATTGAAATAATACATTATACATTAGTTATAGTATGTTTCAGAGCACACTATTTTTTTTTAAACATTAGGATTTTCTCCTGTATCGTGGGTGCGTTTACCAACATACAAGTTCACATACAAACCGGAACAAATATTTATGGATCATACAAAGTGTTGTTCCGTGCGGGAATCGAACCCGCGACACGTTGCACGGTAGCCGGTTGCCCAGCCACCGCAGCAACCGTGCAGTCAGCATTGTATAGACAATGACAATATACATCTTAACTTAATAAATATGAAAGTATGTTTTTTACTCTTTTATGTCAAAACGTCTGAAGGGAACCGGATGAAACTCGGGACAGGGGAAGATTATGTCAAAGTCAAAATCATTTATTTCAATTAGACCAGAAAGGCACTTTTGAACGTCAATAAAGAGATTAAAAGTGAAGCTATTTGCTCATTCCAAGGTGTTTTTTTTAAGGGGGGAACATCATCGAATGACTGCTCCCGCCTGGGTGAGGCGGGAGGGAGTGTCAGAAGTCAGACTCTGACTAAAAACACCCCGTTCCTTCTCCTGCACTTCGAGCCGGAGCCCCGGTAACCCGTTAGGTTCGCCGCGACATTCCAAGGTGTAGATTCCTATGGAGAAGAACGAGCAAGCAACCCCATAGGTTACTCCTTTTCAATCAGGTTCACAATACAATTCTCTAGTTACATAGTTTTACTGTTTGTATTGTGCGAGAACAATTTAACACTAAAACCCAGTCAAAGTGATCGAAAAAGAAAATACCCTTTAGGACAATAAATAATACAGTCTGGAGCTGACCAGTCCCAGTTGACGGCGCCCGTTCACGAACATGACACGTACACCAGCACCGCCAACTCAATCATATTGTAGGGAATCGAGCGATCCACGCGCCACCGCCAATGAGATCTTTGAGTGAGCATGACAACTTCAAGCTGACACAAATGCATTCTACTAGTCTAATTTAATATTAAGTTAATTATGATCTGGAATAACACAGGCTACTTTTTATCTAGTCCGAAGCTAGTACTACTTCACTATGTTTGCCTATTACCATGCACCGGGCACAATTTCAAGACTCAGTACTATAATTGAGAAATTTTCGAAAAATTCTATTTATTTGTATCAACTCCAAGACTATTTAGTTAATTTCCATACATTGTTTTAATTATCCGTGTATGAAGTTAAATCTGGAACTGGACTCACAGTATAGCTGACAAAAACTCGGAGATTTCATGTTATTTAACAGCTTATACAAATAAAATGCTTCAGTGTCATATTTAGTAATCAAACATCAGTGTCTTTTTGTTTGAATGTGCATATCTCCATAACGACTGGTCCAATTTGAAATAATTCTTTTTGCGTTGGATAGTGTGTTTATCAAGAAAACATCACCTTACGACCCGAGCAGAGCATGTGACCCGCTGGTGGTAAAATAAAATAATTCTACATTAATAATGTTTGTATGTAACCCACCTGAAAACATAGCATCTCTTGCTTTCTCCACATTTCTGCTCTTGGCCAGGTTCAGCAGTAGACTCCACACCTGCTCGTTGATGCGGTTTTTGGAGTAGTCCAGCAAGATGTCTCCGTCATTCGGTGTAGGGATGCGGAGACTAAAAATTTTAGTAACTCGTGTCATAATTCTAACAAATTACAAGGAATGTTTGCAATTTATTTATTATTGAATCAGTAATGCTGTGTGGTTTTTATAAGTTTTAAATATTATTTACATAATCCATAAATGAATGAAGAAGGAAATTATGACTGAATAATTTTTGTTGCATGAATTAATTTCTACTTCTATTCATAGAAGTGGTTCTAATAACTTAATGACCATTTAATTGTAATATTTGAGATTTCGATTAAATTTATTTTAGGTGCATGGTAGAATTATTTATAATTGTTTTCTTGCATTTATTATATTGATAAGAACATATAAATAAATTTAAGGACTATAGAAGTTAACATTTCAGTCAGTGGGTCGTCTTTGGGGCGGAAATTTTTTATCGGAAAATAAATGTCTTTTTATTCAAAGTCATAGGTCACCGCTATCGCATCGAAATTTAAAAAAAATCTGACATTTGTTTGTGCATGCGCGACCTTTCAATAACATTTACTAAATCGGTGATATAACGTGACGAAATTACTATAAACACCGCTTTATTCGATGCAATAATAACAAAACTAACAAATAGAACAAAAACCGACACGTTTTAATTCATATGAGATAGAAAAGTAAGTAAAAGTGCACAAACCTGAATTTATTGAAGCGATCGGCATCTTCTTTAAAAAGCTGTTGTATGTTGATTTTGTCGGCATTGGCATCGTAGAATTTCTGTATTTCTACGAAAGCTGGGTCTTGTTTTAAGTTAACTTTGGGTTCCATGATTCTAATAGAAGTTAAACAGGTATTTCGCAAGCCGCGGCCAACTAACTGTATTATTCTTGATAACAAATGTCTCTTTGACATTTCAATGATATCTGAAGGTTATTCGCGTTTGGTTTTTACTTGATAAATTATTTAAGTTTACAATTTTATTTTCGATAGGTAAAAGAAACAATTCTGTTAACTATCATTTATTTATAGATTGAGTGTTATTAATTAAGATACAAATAAATAAGGTTGCAAAAAGATGCCGTAAAATTGTATTTAATGACAATCATCACAGTGCCTTTGGACTTGGATGATTTGTTGGTCTTTTATTGCTTAACTAGGAAAAACCTATATCATTTTAATAATATTTCACTTCAATTACTTGTAACAAGACGCATGACCTTCACGTACAAGGCATTGGCTATGCCTGTCGTGTCGATCAATAGACCGAACCCGCAGTGGTATCAAAGTTAAGATCCTTAGCCAGCACCCTGGTAAATAAACTCACAAACTAGAATGCGCTTATCAGGTGTTTGCCTAAGGCGCTCTCATAAGTCCACATTTAACATAGTTTCCCAACTCCGAGTCTCCTAGGAGATCAAAACAAGACTCCCCCCGAAATAGATCGCCGATCAACCTATTAGCTGCATCTTGATCTGATCTGATCTTGAGTACCATCAAAATCTCCTATAAGAGTTCCCAAAGATACCAGCACAAATAACTATCGGTGTTGCAACAAGTAAAACAACAATTAAACTTAACTTTTTTATTATAATCACATGAAGTTATAATCTTTGAAAAACTTGACAATAACATAATCTTGTATTTGTTCAACTAAATTTTACGTTACCTTAAATTCATTAGACACACTGGTATTAAAGAAATGCTACATATATATATATTTAAAAATCAACTCCTTTCCAATTATAATAAAGTACTTTATTGTTTGAGTCCCTAAAAACGGAATGCGGTAATAAAATTTCAACTTTATAATTATAGAACTAAGGTTACGCTTTGTCAGTGATTTAGTTACTTGATGTATTTTGTCAAGCTTTTTACATAAAATATGTTAAGTAAGTATAACTATGTTATAATATCGTTGAACTAGTACCTAGATATAAAACTGATTATTTTTGTTAAAAGGCGTAAGTAAAGAACAGGGAATGTGACATTGTTTTTTAACCGATTTAAAAATGAGAGGTTTAATCCGTACGTGTGTATTTTTCGCATTATTATAAGTATTTTAGAAGTGAGACAACTTCATTAACAATAATTAAATAACAAAGACCAAATTCCTTGCACAAAAGTAGCTCTTAAACTCAAAGAACGTTTAGTTATTGCTCGAAATCATACTTAAATGAATTAAAACAATCCCTTTAATTTACTTACAATTTTTAATACATTAAAATATATCTCCACTACAGTACAGATCAAAATATATTGACCATTTAGTATGACATGTCTCTCTATAATGGCCAAAACTTTGAAGACCATTTACAAATAACCTATATATATATGTAGATTTACTTACTAAACATTGAATTTTGATAACGCTTCTGTCAATTTTTTTTTCTCTCGCTGATCATATTTGCGTCTCATCCACTCCATTATAGACCTTATTAGCGATCTTTAAAGACTATTCTTGCATGAATAAGTTAATAAGCAAATCTACAGAGTTCTTTTTTAAATGGTCATTAATAAGTCACATATTACACAGATACTTTGTCTAAAAAAAGATGAAATAGAACATGAAATATTAACTAAAACTGATTATTATAAATAGAAAAAAAGAAATGCGAGATTCTGATGAGATTGCCATATTAATTTATTAAAAACATAACGTTATTTGTCGAAAGAGTATCTAAGCGGAAAACCAGTATATCAGGGACTCGATTCGTATGATCTTTGCGCATATTCAGCGGTCAGTGTTTACTGGTTTTTTTATACTTGGTTTGTAGCCAATAAGAAACAAGCGTATTGCCATAAGCTGCTTCACTCCTTATCATAACCGAATATAAACGCCTAATAATACTTTAACCGACAATATATATCTACAACCACAATACCAAATTACAACAAAATTAAAGTGCAACAGATTATATGACCAGCAATAAAAAATACCAAGAACTCAATATGGCAATCCGATCTTAATCGCGGTGAAACAAAAAAAATATATAAACCTGGCTTCTTTATTTAAAAAAGGTTTGATTACGTGACTAACCTATGTTTTATTGAATAATTATACATTTTATACAATTTGTGGTTAAAATAATGCAAAAGATAAAATAAAACAAACGTTTTTTTATTGCTCTTTTTAAATCTCTCTCTCGGATCTTTTCCGATTGAATGAAATGTTAAAAGAATGAATGAATGAATTATGGCTTTATTGACACGATTCGAGCGTTAACATATTATACTTTAAATCATGGGCTTCAGAGTGCCAAGCACGAATAATTATCGCATTCGTATCGTAACAGTATCGAGCGAGTTCGGCGTTCTGATTGGTTGGTTCACTGGAGCCGGCCAATCATAACCCCGAACGCGCTGGATACCATTAAGTTAAGAATGCGATTGTTATTCGTGCTTGGTACTCTGCAATATAACAATTTCTAGTTTTAACCTTTTGACCGCCGCGGACAAACTAAATGTACTTACAAATCATGTTTTCTTGTCGACTGTGGGCGAATATGACGGATCCCGTCATATTTTGTTTCACCGTGGCGTTCAAAAGTTTAATGACAATTATTGTCAACGGTTGCTGATAGCAAGTATGACGTGTGACGTCAGAGTAGAATACATTTTTTCATCACCTTTACCCTTCATGCGCGTGTTAAATACCCGACTAAGGGACTACACATTTGACAAGAGACCTGGCAACAGAGCTCTCTGATAAACCTGAACCTTTTAAACTATGATCTCCAACCTCTATGACAAGCGTGGGGAATATGACAAACTCTCTTATGTAGAGGAGGTTCATAGACCAGTAGAGGAATATCGCGGGCTTTTAAAGATGTTAAATCGTGTCAATAAAAAACATATTTTATTTTCTACTTTCCAATTCCTTCGTAATTTTTGAGCAAAATTATTAAACTTTTTCTACTTATTCGCTTTATTATTTGTCTTTCTCCAACTAAGGCAAGCGTTTATTGCTTGAATATACACTCTATACCGACGGCAATAAGGATTAAAATCCAGCGTCATATACTTTCTTTATATGAAAATAATTTTTGACTAAAATAAGAATATTCTAAAGACTATGTTTCTTTAGAACTCATTATTTTGGCGTTCAACACTTTTTTTTAATAAAATTTAGTTACATTTTAATTAGTCTTGTACAGAGGCGCTGGTGTAGTAAAAGATCTCTTGGTGTATCAGCCAATGTCAAGTTTATTACAGTCAACTTTTGTTAGTGATTGCACCAAGATGACTTCTAAGCTACGCCAGCGACATCTGTCGAGCGCAAAAATCTTATCATTCTAATATCTTCTGAAATTCGTGGTTATATTTAGATCAGCTTTTGAGGTGTGTAAGTTGGTTTAATGAAGTTGTGATTTTGAATCTTATACTTTTGCGTTAAAGTAGAAACTCCATTGTAGATCTTTGACCGTTTACGACATCGACATGATAGTAACACCAAAAAAGGAAAAAAAATATAACCACGAACGCCAACCAACCATCAAACTAAAAAAAATCATTACCTTTAAGCCAAAACGACGGTTATTACAAGGCAATAAAGATCAGTTTCCTATGCAATGTTACGTCGACGGCTAGCCAAATTAATTCAAAGTAAAACAGACGTTATTACAAGGTGATAAAGATCAACCAAATCAATCAATAGGGTAGTTTCTTAAACTTTACTTTAATGTCTGGTAGATTATTTAAAAACATTCGACACGTATTTTTTGTTTTCTTATGGAATCAAATACTTTCGACGACATATTGATTTGAAATATCGCGTGACGTCACTTCTACGTACATTTTAAGTACATATAAAAATGACGTAGCTAGCTTCCCCTACACTTTGATTCGTATCTAAGTATATATTATCTAAGTATTGCTTCCTTATACGACAAAATAAAAAAAATACGTGTCCAATATTTTTTTCATTACCTAACTGACTGACTAAATAGGTTTTTATATTCCATACCCCGTCATCATTCCTATTCAAAGTAAAACAGGCGTTATTACAAAGTGATAAAGATGCGTTTCCTATGCAATGCTACGCCGACGGCCAGCCAAATCAACATGGCGGCGGCATGGGTAGCCAGTAGCTGCGCATGCGTCGGTGCTATAAGTGCCCAGTAGAGGGGGAAATGGCGTTTTAGGAGTTCACTGCCTATGTACAGGAATAGGGCGTTTTGACCTGGAAAATAATGGGTACATATTTATTATTTAGGCTTTATTAAGAAAGAAATAAGGTTGATAATGTCACTTTTGAAGTTGATTTATATTAGAATGTTTTGTATATTCTGAATGCGTTTAGAAATATACAAATCAACAAACACATCACAACCAAACCAGACAATTTGTGGATCACACAAAATACTGTTCTGTGCGTGAATCGAACCCTCAACACGTTACGCAACACCCAGCGACTGCGACACTTGATTGTATGCGTGATTCCGTTAAAAAATATTTATTAATCTCAATTTCTCCCCTCCTCAATGCGAAAGCAATTGCAAAAGCAACGCACTTATAATTCTTCTAGTATTGAAAATGTCAATGGCCAGAGTCTATTGCTTACCATCAGGTGGCTTACTCTTGAATCCAATTCCGATCGATCGATATTGGTATTGTGAAATTTCGTACTCTTGAATTACAACACTAGCGCCCATTGCATTCGTTTTGCGTGGATATTGAATGAACTAAATGGTATTGAGTTTGTCTTTATATTCCGTACTCTGAATGCTATTGTAACAGCTACGATCGTGGTTTGATAGTTTTGACATTGAATAATTATTGAGATTTTATTGGATTGAAATTGCACGATTGCTGACCATAAAAAAATTAAACACAAGACAACGTAAACTGAACTCTAAATCTACAGCAACAAAGTTCAAAATGAACTTACCAGCGTAATACAAAGGCCGTCCTCCCCACTTAGTCTTCAGATCCACGATGAAGTACAGAACGGCTTGTATGAACATGGCCATCGATGACGTCACTAAACAGTAGGAGATCGACCATAGATTCTTGTTGACAGGTATAACGCCTCCGTTCTTCGAGAACATGCATAGAGCACCGCCAGAGACACCGAAGATTATAGACCAGAATACCCAACGCATTATGCGTGCCCTGTAATAAAAAAAAAACTTTAAAATTGAATATTTTTCAATGTCAAAACATTTATTTCATTTAATCCTTATTGGCACTTAAAATTGAACTGTCCGTCAGTCTATTTGTCAGTAAAGCTCAAGCTATGCGCTCGTTTTTTAATAATGATTGTTTTCTAATAATTATTATTACTAATAATGGTTTTTTAATAACGATCATTTTCTATTGTACAAAATGAAACATGCGTCATCAGTGTGCTTAGGGTCTTTAGAGGGAATTTGCCGTAATCCACGCACTTGGCAGGCAGTTTGGAGATCATAATTATGTCTTCTCAGTGCCTGGTAACAATTTAAGTCTGTTTGGATTGCTCTAAATGAGGTTTGCTCTAATCCCCACAACAGTTTACGATTGCAGTTAGACCGCCTAAATAACAGTTTACATGTTATAATGCTTAGCATAAACGAACTTTACATTTTACCATAATCCCCATACTTGGCAAACAGCTTGTTGATCATAATTAGATCACCCTATCTTTGTTTAAGGACACACCCAGCACCAAGGACCCCATATTTCATTAATCCCCAAACACATTACCTAGCATGGTTGTAAGCCAGCATGATTCTGGTGGCGTGTGCGCCGGCTTGGACTACGAAGACTCCGGAGAGGATGCCCAGCAAGCCTTCAGGGTCGTGAGGCACTGTGGTATGATATATCTTACGGAAAGAGCCACGCTGGTATAAGTGAGCGGGGCCTAGGATCAGTCTGAAACAAGATATAATATCATTATATATTTTCTTCTATTAACAAAATTTGTTCATATAAAAGTAGTATCTAACCATCGGGAATAAGTTCTATAATGGAGCGTGTGGAGAGAGGACACTGTGCCTTTAGCCAAACGCCACTTTAGCGCTTGTCTACAGAGAGAGTATAAAACTAAATGTATGGGGATGACACTGACAAGTGTCAAAATTTACATCAATTCCGTATAATTTGGTTTTCTATTCTACATGTAGACAAGCGCTAAATGGCATTTGGCTACAGCTGCTGGTGTCTCGGGGATTTAGGAGGGTTTTGGTACAAGAGCTAAACTAAGGCTAAGAAGCTTTTTAATGTTGAAATAAAAAAAAATATAATAAAAAGACCGTAGAAGATTGGCTGTAGTATCATGTCGTATGTCTATAAATCCATTATCGAGGCAGGCCATAACACTAGCCTGCCTCGATATATGGGCTATCCAACATAAAAAAAAATAAAAATCGTATTAATAGTTCCGTAGATTAGCACATTTAATCAAATAAATTCTTTAAGTGTGGGAGAGCCATGCTTCGGCACGAATGGGCCGGCTTGACCGGAGTAATACCACGGCTTCACAGAAAACCGACGTGAAGCAATGCTTGCGTTGTTTCGTCGTGTGAGTGAGGTTACCGGAGGCCCAATTATCCCCCTCCCCAGTCTCCCTAATCCCTGAATCCTCCACAATCCTCAAATTCCCAATTCCCGAAAGGCCGGTAACGCACTTGTAACGCCTTGGTGTTCCAGGTGTCCATGGACGACGCCGATTGCTTACCATCAGGTGATCCGTAAAAAAATTATTAACAAAAAAATTAGGTAAAGAAAACTTACCTGTCAATGTACCCAGCGATACCTCCAGTACAGTTCTGTAGAGACACATTGCTGACTGCTGACAGATGTAGGCCGCCGGGTCCCATATACCCGCGGGGACATCCTGGCGCAGGCACTAACAGGGTTATACACACCTGTCGTACAATACATAACGTTTAAGGTTATATAAACTAAGTTTTTTATTGCTTAACTAGCTGCTGACAGCGGGTTCGCCCGAAAAGTAGCCTATGTGTTATTCTAGACCAGGGAAGGCGAACCTTTACACATTAGCGTGCTAATTACTTTGAAAAAAAGTATTTTACGATTTTATGTGTGCCATCGACTGCCATTTACTGTCAATCTGTAGCAATAATGTATACAGTTGGCCTGGTTTTTTTAAGGGGGGAAAATCATCGAATGACTGCTCCCGCTTGGGTGAGGCGGAAGGGAGTGTCAGACTCTTACTGACTAAAAACCACCCCGTTCCTTCTCCTGCACGTCGAGCCGAAGCCCCGGTAACCCGTTAGGTTCTCCACAGTTGGCCTGGTTAGCTGTCACCACAGTCTGAGTACACCAGCAATATTCGAGACACCACATATGCGTTGTAGGTTTCTGACCTTTTATCAGTTTTGTAGTCACTGTCGTGCCCAAAATGTTGTGTTCCGTGCCATCAACGGCACGCGTGCCAATGGTTCGCCATCCCTGTTCTAGACCATAATCTACCCCTGGTCCAAATTTCACTCCGGTATCTTCAGCCGTATTGTTGTTATTGAGTTACAAACATACACACAAACTCACAAACTTTTGCATTTTTAAATCAGTAAGACTACAAATTTCAAGAAAGCTAGAGCAACTAGTTTGGACGGAAAAGGATGCTCGACTGCCTCGTTGGCCGAGTGGTCGCAAGTGCGACTGCCGGGCAGGGGGTCTCTGGTTCGATTCCCGGGTCTGGCAAAGTATTACTAGGTTTTTAAAAAATGCTCAGTAGTTGCACGGAGTCTGGAATTGTGCCCGGTATATGGAAATAGGCTCACTCTACTATTACATGGGACTTATAAAATAAATAGTGAAAAATGGGTGCACCTCTGCCTACCCCTTTGGGGATAAAATGGCGTGAAGTTATGTTATGCTCAACTAGTTTCGTGCTACACCGGAGCCCTTAAAGAGTTAATAAGTAAACATTCTTTGTATATAAATTACCTGTATAGCGACGAGCAATAATGTAGCCAACCATTGCTGCCAACCAGCGCTGATGTCACGGAATAGGGAACGACCTGCGAGGTAAAGACGAACATAACATTTTTAATGATAATTCGTTCAAAAATACTTTCAACTGAAAGTCTAAAGATTTTCTAAGAGGCAGTTGTCTGTAAATATCTTTACTAGACTGCCTCGTTGGCCGAGTGGTCGCCAGTGCAACTACCGGGCAAGGGTTTTCGGGTATTACTGCTTTTTTAAATATTTGTTAGTAGTAGCTCGGAGTCTCGAATTGCGCCCGGTATATGGCAATAGGCTCACCACTATTATATGGGATTCATAACATAAATAGTGAAAAGTGGGTGTTCATTATACAGTGCCATTAACTGCATTACGTAGTACGCTATTTTTATCCTTCTCTCGAAATTACAATAAGCTGAAAATCTCAAAAACCATTTATATAATGTTAGAAAAAAACGATTAAAATAATTACATATATAGGCTATACTTTCCTTAATCAAAAATAAATCATTTCAACTGTTCAATACAATAAAATATTAAAAAATAATCACACTTTCATAATTGATTTTTTGATCAACATAATTTTAGTATTATTCCAGCAATTTTAAAAAATAAGATTGCTGTTTGACACTAAAAAACGTGACGTCACAATACACAATCTCGTTCAACATAGAAAACTGTCGTTTTTGACAGTTCGAAAAAAGTATTATATATTTTTGCACCCTCTTACCTGGCGTGATATCCTGACTAGTCCTCATGAAGGCGCACTCCAGAGCTCCCACAATGAGATACATGGCGGCCAGGCGTTGTAACACGCCGGGGAGTCGAACGTCGATCCATGACGAGTTGGAGGAGCCGAGCACTATGCCTATGAGGCAGAGCATAAGGGAGCGAGTTGCGACCTGGAGGTTGAAGTATAATAGTTAAAGGAAGTTTTTTAAGAGAGGAAAACCGTCGAGTTACTTCTCCTGCCTTGGGTAGGCGAGATATTGTCAGATTCCGCTGATATCATAAAAAGAGGTTAAATTAAGGACAAGATATGGAAGAAATATATTGACGTAGTTAATGAAAGCTGTAATTGCTTTTTCTGAAGGAAATAAAAGGCTTTTTTATTCTTATTTATTTACAATGAAGGCTTTGACTGCCCATAGAAAACTGTCGAAGGCAAAGGACGCATGGCGTTTAACGTGTCAATAATATAATCGACATTAATCTAAACGCTCTGGATCGATGTCGGTTTCAGACAGAAACTGCATACAATCACAAATTAAATCTCAATACAAAGACTTTAGATCGAAAGATCTGAAGACCAAAGATTCTGGATTGAGATTTACTGAGACTCTGGATTGAGAGACAATAAAGAATTTGAATTTAAGATCAGTCAGTAATTAGGGCCGTAATTGTCGATTTTGGAACAAAACAAGAAGGTTTTTTTTACAGTCAAAGCCAAATATCTGTACAAATAACAAAAAGTGTAAATTCTGTACATTTAAATAAAAAAATAAATAAATAGTAGTAATAGGGATGTTACTACATAGTCACAGGACGCAAAAATATGACAAAAAAAAATTCTGTCTGTTTGTCTGTCAGTTACCTCTTGGAACGCGGGCGAAGCCGCTGGCAGAAGCTAATTAGACTAATAAAGTGATAAATATTGATTTGACCACTAATATTATTCAGTATTTGTTTAATTGAATGAAAATAAACATCAACACATATTTTTCTCACACATTCTTCTCTGACATACCTGTTGCAAAGCATTGATCCTGGGCAATGAAGTCCTGAGTCTAGCGTTGAGTGAGAGTACCAGAGCCTCTCCCATGGCGAAGGCGAACCACGGGAACACGACGTCGGCCACAGTCAGACCGTTCCATACACTGTGGGAGAACACGCCGTAACCACCGCCGCCCGCGTTCACGAAGATCTATAGGCAATATACATATTATAATTAATTATATATATATACACACATATGTATATATATATATTCTCATTAATTCAAATGAAGTGAAATGTGTGTTTGAGTTTGAGTAGTCGTAAGAATTAGGTACTTTCCTTCATCCTTACTAATATTATAAATCGGAAAGTGAGTTTGTTTGTTTGTTTGTTCCGCTTTCACGCCATAACTACTAAACCGATTGCTTTGAATTTTTGCAGATGTATAGTTAGAAGTCCGGATTAAATAATAGGGTACTTTTTATCCCGGATAAATTTGAAATTCCCGAGGGAAAACAAAAGTATTGGTATAGATGGCGTGTGCGATGTGTGTGTGTATTGGTATATGTCACGTTGGCTTCTTATCCTTTTGTGACGCGAGCGAAGCCGCGGGTAAAAGCTAGTAATATTATAATGTGAATAGGGTGTACCATTATAATAACCAATAGCCATGTTAGTAATAATTTTCAATAACATTAAACGGGAATTCTCAATCGAATGTAGATTGCGACACCTGCAGTGACCAGTAGTTTATCGTGAGTTTATTTCGTTAATCAAACTAATTCAATTATTACAACAATACAAGGACAAAGATAAGCCACAATGGGTTCATTACGCGATTAACTATTATCCTTATCCGAATTATTATTTAGTGTAAAATGTGTGTTTACATCACCTAAACTGCTGTACCGATTATGATTCGATTGCACATTATTGGTCTACCTCGTGGGTAGTGGTAACAAAGGGTCTGGGGTCCGATTCTAATGTCATCATCATCATCATCATCAACAGCCTATAAATGCCCACTGCTGAGCAAAGCCTCTTCTCACACGGAGAAGGTTTGAGCATTAATCACCACGCTTGCTCAATGCGAGTTGGCGATTTCAAACTTATAATTAGAAATTATAAGGCCAGGTTTCCTCACGATGTTTTCCTTCACCGTTTGTCAGTGGTGTCTAAATAATCTTAGAAAGTACATATAACTCGGAAAAAATCACATTGGTACTTGCCGTTGGTAGAAACTTTTTTATTCGAAATCAGTTAAACATGTAATTCTGAATGTCTTACCATGAGAGCGATGGCGAATCCTCGGAAGATGTCGAGTGATCGCAGTCGGGAACGTGTCGGTGACCTCGGGACACTGGCTTCGGCAGTTAGCACTCGAGTCTCTGAGCCCAATTCATTGTCCTCTCTGTAACCATCAGATAAGGACACGCTTAATTAATAAAATATTTTAACAAGGTTCATGTAACTGTATGGCGAGGAAACTCGACTAGTTTCAAGCCGCGCCAGGGACTCATAACCATGAGTTGATTGTAGTAAAGCAACCTTTAGCGCGACTGCCGAGCAAAGCATTTCGGGATCGATTTCTGAGTCTGTATACGCCTGTATACGAAAAGGCTAGACAATTTTAAGTTGTACTTACAATATCGTGCCATCTCTATCATTTTATAAAGAATTTGTAGAGACAGAATTATACTTAAGCGCGACTTAAAATTTAAGTGGCGTTTGAATATTTCATCGTCAGTGTAATTGGGTTATTTACTTAAGCGAAACATAGGATCATTACTATTACATGGGATTTGACCCATAGGTAACACAGTAAGAAAAAGTCATTTTATGTGAACTTCTGCTTTATGCTTTTGTTTGATCTTCGGGAAAAATAAATCTTCTTCAACAGGATTATGAATTAAAAAAATAATCTAATAATCTCAAATACAAACCTTGCAAAATATCTAGCATACAGCCGACCAGCGACAATTCTCTTTCCGACTCCTTTCACGACATACCAGAGAGTGGCCATAGACAAGAGAATGACGACAGCTGTCAGAATTGGCAGGTACGCCGCATCCGGTTCCGCTGTCATCCGCGGAAGGCATGTGTCAGTTTTGACGTCAGTGACGTTCAGGATATACTGGCCATATTCACCGAACTGATAGGTGCCTGAAAAGATAAAAAAATTATAATTACTATAAACGAATTTTATTTTTTAAAGGGTCTCCTAATATAATATGAGTCCCATCCATGTACGTGGTATGGGTGAGCCTTAACCATACAATGGGCATTTGAAACTCAGTTCAACGCAATTCCAGAATCGAAGCCAAGCCCTTGTTGCCTCAGAACTAAATTAATGACCTAGTGGATTACCGGAGTTCCAGTTCAAAGCATGAATAGGAACGAGGTGGTCTTAAGTCATTAAGAGTCTAGCACTGCCTGCCGCCTCCTCCAAGGCAGGAGGAACCATTCAATGATATACCCCCCCCCCCCTTTCAAAAAAGTCTTGTTGATCGTATGACTTGACCGTAAGAGAATAATGTCAACTTTGTTACTTTGCAATAAAGGCGAAAATATACCACCAATTTGTATAGATATGCATTAATTTGTTGAATTCATAAAATGACTAATTCAGTACTAAAGTATTCGAAGCATTAGTAAGTGCGTAACTGATATGCTGTGGAACTGGTTTTGTCGAGTTATTTCAATAAAAGGGGTCATTTGTAAGGCTAAGATTATTTTAATATGCAGACAGTCTTAAGTAAATAAGTAGGTACATAATTTTATACTTATTACTAGCGACCCACCCCGGCTTCACACGGGTGCAATACACATGTATTATACATATAAACCTTCCTTAAGAATCACTCTATCTATTAGAAAAAAACCGCATCAAAATCCGTTGCGTAGTTTTAAAGATCTAAGCATACAAAGGGACAGACAGACGGCGGATAGCGACTTTGTTTTATACTATGTAGTGATATGTATATATATAGTTTTCGACACGAATGGGGCAGCTCGGCCGGAGTGATACCACGGTTCTAGTTCTTCCTGCAGAATATTACCTGCTGCCCAGCCTATCCTAGTGTTCGTAGTGTGAAGTTCTATAGCCTATGGCCTTCCTTGATAAATGGACTACCCAACAAAAGAACAACTATCCAATTCGAATCAATAGTTCTGGAGTAGCACGATCAAACAAACTAACAAATCCCTTAGCTTAATAATATTACCCACTAGCTTTTGCCTGCAGCTTTGCCCACATTCACGTAAGATAAAAAGAAGCTTATGGGTAATAACCCATGTAATAAGTTTCTATTTCAAATTTCCTGTTCCGGCGACCTCTCACCTCCGGTTCTAGTTCAGATTCAGACTACGGTACGGAGCGAGGGGAACTGGATTGCCGTCTCATCCTTCTGCGAAGCAATCATGCTGGAATGAATGAATGCAGGGCGCGTGAGGGAACTAACCTCCTCACGCCCCAGCCGTCGCGAGAGACACTCTGGGCGTCGGAGATCGCGAGACGATCTCCGGCCACCGTAAGCACGTGCCTGCGGCCGGCGAGCACGGGTGACTCGCCGCCCGACCAGAACCAGACCGAACGTATGGCGCTTCGCATACCGCGCGCGCCTGAACGAACCATCAGACCACCACAGACAGGACCCAATAGGGCTGATGCCGATACGGAGCCGCGGAGGACTTAACAGGTTGCCGGGGCTCCGGCTCGAAGCTCAAGAGGAGAAGAACGGGGTGGTTTTTAGTCAGTAAGAGTCTGACACTCCGTCTCGCCTCACCCTGGCGAGAGAAGTCATTGGAAAAAAATAGATCCCTTCAGCCGTATTGATATGAAAGAGTAACAAACACACACATACATCCTCACAAACTTTCGCATTCTATAATATCAGTACAAAGTAAGATATAAGTAAGTATTCACCTCAAATATGATATTGATATTTCTATATATATAAAAGAAAGTCGTGTTAGTTACACCACTTATAACTCAAGAACGGCAGAATAGATTTGGCTGAAAATTGGTAGGGACGTAGCCTAGAGCCAGGAGACCGACATAGGATACTTTTTAACAAAATTTTTTTTTTACTTTTTACCGAAAATCGCGAACGGGGACGGGAAAAAATGGGATTACGCATACGAAGTCGCGGGCAGAAGCTAGTTGTTTGATACAAACATTAATAAAATATGTCTTAATAACAATAATTATTATTGACACCTAGCACAATAGAACAAAGAACTTTACAAGATACTTATAAAGAAACTTAGATAGTTACATACTTTAAACTCAATGTCATTAGAAATAATAATATTTTATTAATTATGTAACTCAGGAAAAATCATTGTAAAAATACCTGGTGTAAAATAATAATGCAAAAAAACCAGATAACATGTCATTTAATGCAGTTTTTGACAAAAACCTTTATAGTGCAAATAAGGAGGTTGACTATAGATTAAAAAAAAAATAAGGAAAAAGTTGTTTAATTTTAATGAATGTAACTAAAAATTGTATTGTGAACCTGATTGAAAAATAGTAACCTATGGAATTGCTTGTTTATTCTTGTCGATATGAATCTACACCTTGTAATGAGCAAATAGCTTCACTTTCAGTTTTTGGTTGACATTCAAAAGTGCCTTCCTAGTTTAATTGAAACAAATGATTTTGAAATTGACTTTCAATGATTTGAATGTTGGTTATTTGCATTAAAGAAGGCCATACACGCTAGGTTTTGCATGATGGTTTTAGCCGTGCATGCATAACCGAAAGGCAAGCCCTAGCGTGTAAGTGATTAAACTGTACAGTTATCGGTGCTATGAAACTTGGTTATGCTTGTTGGTTTTGCATGCACAGTTATAACCACCATATAAACCCTAGCGTGTGTGGCCACCTTTATCTCTTTGAGTACCGTCATTATAGACACAATTAAAGAACAATAGGTTGGGGTTACCGGTGACCGTGTGGTGTTTGACAGTTTAATGGTGGCTATGAAAGTACTGAGTGAGTGGAATCGATTTGAAAAGGCGGCAAGCTATCGAAAAACCAGAATGTATTGTTTAATCCAAATATTCATGCAGTATCATAAACAACTCAAGTAAAACCGTTATAATACATACACACAAAGTTAAAATAAGTCCGTAACATAATAATAAGATAATTATCTGTAGTGTTTGTGGTAGTATCTATATACATATAGATACATGCCGTCTCGTGCGCATGACGCGCGGAGTGGACAGTTATTAGCACGAGAGCCGCGGGCGAGGGTGGACTGTGTCACTGCTGCGCGTGCATGTGTGATCGAGCCGGCGTATGCGTTATAGTATTACATTAGTTTACAGTAAGGGTCCTACATTTGGCGACGAGCTAAAAGGTAAGTAATTTATATTTTATCAAAAAGAATAAGAAAGGATGTTGGGTGTTATTTTAGTCCTATCTACATACCGACATGATCAAATACCTGGCACTATATTATTATCATATTTGTTAACCTGCATTAATAACCCAACATTTCATATTTACGAGTTCAAATAAACATTTTACTGTACAATGATTCGCATATAAACTGAAGCATTTCGTCCACATTTCGGTATTTGAACTAAAATGATGTTAAACTTTTTAATTGAAAGTTATATAATTGAGATGTTTAAACTGTCAAACACTGGGCGGTCGCCGGTGGCCGCGACCTGTTCTTTGATTGTGTCTGTAGTGGGGGTACTCAACGAGTTAAGCAATTACTTAACTATGTAGGTAGGTATGTGCGTCAACATGAAATATGTGCTGTGGATTTATACTTATAGGGTTGGATACTTTGTTTGATTGTTGTTTGATTTGCTACTAAGGTACTGAATAATATACATAACGGACGGCTGTAAGCTGTGAAACATTACAAATCAGTATGAATTTCAATAATATGAATAATTGTTTAAGATTTACTGCTTTAATTTTCAGATATTTACTAAGTGGTTTTAAAACCTCCATTGAATTGGAAATAATGTGGTTTTAAAACCTCCATTAAATTGGAAATATTGTGGTTTTAAAACCTCCATTAAATTGGAAATATTGCGGTTTTAAAACATCCATTAAATTGGAAATAATGTGGTTTTAAAACCTCCATTAAATTGGAAATATTGTGGTTTTAAAACCTCCATTAAATTGGAAATATTGCGGTTTTAAAACATCCATTAAATTGGAAGCATGTACCTAGGTACCTCATTGTGGTTTAAAGGCCTCCATTAAATTGGAAATAGTGTGGCTTCAGAACCTCCATTGAATTGGATATTGTTGCGATTCTAAAATCTCCATTAAATTGAAAACATTGTGATTTTAAATTCTCGATTAAATTTTATGTGGGTAGTTATTTAGAACAGGAATATGGAGTAAATTAAGAACTGTTTTTAAGGTCAATACAGTGATGGTATTTGATTCTTAATTTCAGTATTACATATCTGTGAATGTTTATTCAACTTTTAATAAGTAGGTACATTTAATAAAATCGACTAATTTATTATGTTTGATAAATGGAAGTTACAACGTAGGATCATCTTTCCAGGTTGCCCCACCTGATCCTTGAAACAAGCACTAAGTAATCATGACTAATATGCTACCACCACCCGACAAATTAGATTTAGACGGTAATGATGCATCAGTTGGTCAAAGATGGGAGAAATGGAAAAGATCTTTAGAAATTTATTTAGACGCTGCAGAAATTCAGACACCTGTTAAGAAAAGGGCAACACTTTTACTCCTGGGGGGTTCAGTGTTACAGGAAATCTATTATAATCTACCCGGAGCTTCTGTAGAACCAACTGAGGGCATTGACGTATTTAAAATTTCTATTCAGAAATTGGACGAATATTTCCTTCCTAAGCAAAGCTGCGTTTATGAACGTCATGTTTTCCGGCTTATCAAGCAGGAAGAAGCGGAGAGATTTGAAAAATTTCTTGTTCGATTGAGAAAACAAGCTACAAAATGCAAGTTTGATAAGGTTGACGATCATTTAATTGATCAGATAGCTGAAAAGTGTGCATCAGTAGAATTAAGGAAGAAAATACTAACCATTGGCGATGACATTACTCTCGAAAGAATTGTAACAGAAGCAAACACTTTGGAAGTGGTCAAACAACAACTAGACGACTACGAAGAAAAAACGAAAAGAATCGATATT